TATTAATATATTAAAATAAATTTATATAAAATAAATATAAAAATAGATATAAAAAGGGAAATTATTTATCTAGCAGTAATAAATATTGTATAAATAGAATTAAGGACTAAAATAGGTTAAATCGTTTACATTCTTATATAACAAAATTTAGAATTATATTATTAAAACTATCCTCCTTAGAATATAATTCTATTTAAGTAATAATATATCAAATACGGGTACGGGAATAATGTTAATATAATTAGCAATAGCCTACGTAAGAATGGAGATTACAGATAAAAATATAAAAGATATTAATATTTTATTATTTATATTATATTTTTTATCAGACGCCGAAATACGGTACTATATAAGGGAAAGGGAAATATTACGTATATTCCGGGCCTTAGTTAAATATCGTCATATCCTCCTCGAATTTATGTACCTAATAATTATTTATATAAATTATAAAGACCTATTAAAAATATTAAATATTAAAAGGGATCTTACTAGTCGGATTATTTATTAAATTAATTAATTAAGCGAATATAATATCAAAATCCTTTATCGGCCCAGGAAATCGTAATTCATTAATATTATTAACGGTTTATTATAGTTATTTAAAAGGACGGTAAATACTCCGGAATATTATAATAAAGAGGTACTCCTATTTCAATAAATAAAAAAGGCGTTACTAATACATTTAACTCAATTATAACCCGTAATAAAGACCGAAAGAACAGCGTATATAACTATATTTTAAATTACCTTTAAATATATTAATAATTTAAATTAACGGTTATTTACTAAATTTTAATATACAAATATAATTACTTCCTTAATTTATAGTAAATCAGTATTAAATACTTTAACAAATATAGAGAAACGTAACGTTATTCGGAAATCGGTTAAATATCGGTTAATAGACGCCTATTTAGTTTATTTAGAAGGATAGGGAAATTAAAATTTATTAATATAATATATATTCTCGGATAAAGTGCCGATAATTATTTAATAAGTATATAATAATTTTAAATATTATTTAATTACTATTATTATACGACGGCTTCGATTAAAATATTAGTAGCCTAATCGATTAAAGGACATTATATTTTATATTTTAAAATACGTAACGTATATAGTAGTAAGTTCTAAATTACTTCGGACGGTATGATTTATACTAGTGTTATTATTAATTCCTTAATTAGTAGTTAAGATAAATTATACGGGCGCTATTATACTTAAAGGGAGAGGAGGTTAATTATATATTTATTTATAAATTTACTACTTTTTATAATTCTTTATTATTATGGTAATAGGATAATTAACGAACTTTGAAATTATTTAAATATAGAAACGGATAATTCTAATATTAGGATAATTAGAAGAAATCTATAGTAATAATAAAACGGTATTTTAGAAATTATAATATAAAAATAATTTATAAATTAATATATAGTTTTTAATTATATAGGTTAATAGAATTTTATATAAAATCATTAAAGGTAAAAATATATAAATAAGCTAAGGATTGAAATTATTAGGCTTTAGAGGATTGGTTATTAATATTAGAAAATTTAATAGAAAATTCTAATAGTTAAATACAAGAAGGTAATAAATATAGCCCATTATAATTATTATTAGGTTAATAGGTAGAATAATAATTAATAGTAATCAATCGGGCAATAAGGGGATTAATAATAATAAATATAAATAAGGTATTAAATTTTATAGGCAATAGTAAAGATTTAATTAAAGAGGATTTAGAGAGCTTACGTATAAAGGAAGTAAAAACGATCTACGAAAATTAGAATAAAAGTCGGGTAGATAGAATTAGGGACGTTATATTTAAAAACCTTTATATAATAGAGAATATAGTATAAGAATTAATTACAGGAATTCGGAATATAAAATTAGAATATATATATAAAAATGATAATTTAAAAAACTTAAATAATAAAACGAAAGTACTAGTATTTATATTAAAATGGACGGGGCTATAGGAAGTAATCGAAATAATATCATTAGTATCAGTAAAAGTAGTAAATTTAAATATAAGGAAGAAAGTACGAAAAGTTTATATAAATAATGCTAAATTATAAGAAGTAAATAAAGTAAAGGAGATAGATTTATTAAGGGAAATAAAATTATAATAGAATATAAAATTAGAAAAAGAGGTAAAGTAAGTAGAAGAAACAGTATTAATAATATTAAAAGAAATTAACTTATTTAAAGGATTAAAAATTATTAAAGAAAAGGGGCGTAAAAATAAGAAAACAAAGTTATAAATATTCAATAAAATAAATAATAGGAGGAGAAGGAGGTATAGAAAATAGGATGGAAAGAAAGAGGGGTAATAGGTATTTAGTACGATAAATAATAAGAGGAGGAAAGAGGAAGTTAGTTTTATTTTAGCGTACTATAATTTATCTCTTATACAGTTTTATTTTTTCTTTAAAATATTACTATCGATTAGCATTATTAATATTATTAGGGTACTTTTAAGTTAATTCTATTATTATATTATTATTTCGAATCGCTATACGTTTTAGGGTTATATATTACTTACGGCGATATACGAAATATTATAAGTAATTACTTTTTGATTATATTAGTTTTACTACTACGTTACACTCTTTTTATTATTACATACGGCAATATACGAAATACCACAGGTAATTACCCTTTAATTATATTAATTTTACTATTATATTACAATCGTCCTTTGCTATTTACAATAATATACAGTTTATTACAGATAATTATTAACTAATTTTATTAATAGACTACGAAAAATATAGAGGGATTCGACGTATATAGTAAATACATTTTTTAAGAACGCAATAACAACGATAATATAATCCTAAGAAATTTAGGCAATTCGATTATTTATACAGGTAACTTATATATTAATTAAACCATTATTCCAGCGCACGGGGAATTAATTTTAATTAAGGTTTTTAAAAAAGAAGAACTATATATATATTACTAATTATTATTATTAACTATATTAGAAAGGGAATATTTAGAACCGGGCCCGATTTGTAAATTGCGGTAATTTGCAGTATTATATATTAATAAGCGTATTCTATATATTATTTATATTACGTTGGAATATTATATTAGAGAAATTGATTTTCTCCTTTTGCGTTCGGGATAATTTTTATATAAAAAATATATTTCTTAGCAATATTATCTAGGTTTTTATTTTACTATTACAATTATAAATTATATTTATTTTTTTATATTAAGAATTTATATTATATATTTAAAGATTTTAAGGCCGAATAAATGTAATATACTATTATAGAATAGAATAACGATTTTTCCGCAATCCGAATACCTAGTATTAAAGTATAGGAATTAGTAGAAATTTCAACCCTTAACCCTAAAAAGAAATCGATAATTACTTTCCCAATATAAGCGTAACTAATTTATATAATTAAAGGGGATAGTACAGTAATAGTCCGCTAGGATTTAATCGGAGCGATAGAATTTATAGCAATAATCGAAGAATATTATAATTGCCGGGATTATGTTTAGTTAAATAAATACAGTAATATCGTTTACTAAAGACTAATATATACGGAATTAATTAAAATAATAAAAGTTGTAGTAAATTAATTACTTTATTAAATAAATAAATATCGAACCTTATTTATTAACAAATTTAAATCGCTTTTAAAAAGTAGTAATATAGACCAATTAAAATACATATTGAATAAGATTAACAGGGATTCGTAGAAATTAAGTACTACCTAATCTATAATTAATAGCGAAACGTATATAAATACAACTAGGAAACGGACAATTATTTTTATTATTAACAGTTTAAAATTATTATATATATTAGTTCGAATAATTAGAATTATTATTTAGTAGGTACTTAATATATTAGCGGGAATATTCGGAATTTTACTTAGTATTTTATTATTTAAGAAGATTTTCATTAAATTGGTATAATATTAATATACTACCCTTAAATATTAGCTTTATATATTTACTATATAGCTCGATTGGATTACTTAATTAATATTATTCTAATTAGGATAGTTTAATATTATTAAAATTTAAGATATATTAAGAATATAATTTACCATAGTATAATATTTGTAGTTAATTTAGTAGTAGAAGTATAGTCGATTATTCCGATTTTAATACTTCTAAAGATATTTAAGTATAATAATACAGTATTACGATCCAGTAGGAGTAAAGTATATATAGAGGGATAGAGATTAGTATATAATACAGTAGATAGATTTATTATTAATTTCTATAGTTAATAACCTGGGTATACGGTAGTACCCTTAGGAAGGAGGGGAGCCTTATAGAAGGCACGTATGTGCGTACGGACCTTTAGATTACAGTATTTAGTCTATAGTCGCGGTGAGAAACCGTTAGTTAGCAGACCAACCAATTACACTCTTTTGTTTATACCCCTAACGAACCTTTTGCAGGGATCCAGCACGGATTGCAACATTTTGCATGATATTTACTCAACGGGATACCGAAAGTCCTAAATAGCTGCAAATGGTAAGCCCGGAACCTACAAGAGAAAGTGGCAAGATCCAGGCCACGGCGGCACACAGTTGACCAGGACCGTCCCCGGGTTAGGTATGCCAAGGTGCCAAGGGCTGAGCCTCTACCAATTACAATCCAGCCCTTGTAGGCATGTTTTGTGAGCAGACCATTTCCCGGCGCTTTGTTCGAACATACTCTGTTACCCTACCTCGTGAAAAGGGCAGTGCAACACCGCGAACACCAACAACTCTTGGGCCAACCAACCGTGGCTTTGTGGACGAAATGGAAGAACCTTGTAGACAATCAGTTTGACGGTCACCGGCCTATACCCGATCAGGTACCGGACAAGTACCAGCATGGCCATCATTGAGCCACATGCGACTCCAAGGGCCAGGTATTCTTACTTGTAAGTATATTAATAGGGAGAGACTCTCCCATCTCACACTTCTTGGAAAACCTACCCAGCCCAAGTATCAAGCAGATACACACATTCAGACAAGATGGCCTCCTACAAGATTGCCGCTCCCGATGAGTACCTTGCCATCACTGGCATGGGTGTCAATACCCGTAAGTTCTATCTTGGCCTCTCCTATAATGCTCACGACGTCAGCATCTGACAAGTACCACCAGTCAAAATCACAAAGGCAGCATGGGTTTGGCCCTTCCAGCGCTGCATGCGCTTCAGCGTGCAACCCCACGACTACGCCATGAGCCTCCAGGCCATGACCAAAGAAAAGCTCCAATTTCTCCTCCCCGTCGTCTTCACCGTCGGTCCCGATGTCAACCAACGAGGTGCCAACATCCGACGACTCGGTGGTGGCGTTCATGATGAGCCAGGAAAGCCCGGCGATGAACATGACGTGGCCATGGCCGTCTCCGACTCGGTAGTTCGCCGGGAAGACCGGGGCGATGCCCTTATGAAGTTCGCCATGCTCTTGGCCGACTCAGGCCGCGACAAGGGCCCCAACAACCATGACTTCCTCGAGGGCATCGTCAAGGGCATCATCGAAGGTGAAGTCCGTGTGCTCGTCTCGGCCATGACCATGGAAGAGATCTTCTCGGAGCGTGAAGAATTCAAGCGTCGCATCTTCCGCAACATCCAATCCGAGCTTGACCAATTCGGCCTCAAGATTTATAACGCCAACGTCAAGGAGCTCAAGGACGCTCCCGGATCGACCTACTTCGCCTCGCTCTCGCAGAAGGCGCACGAGGGTGCAACCAACCAAGCCCGTATTGACGTCGCCGAGGCCCAGCTGCGCGGTAACGTCGGCACGCAGAAGCGCAAGGGCGAGGAAGCGCGCGAGATCGCCAAGATCCAGGGAGAACAAGACCGCGAGCTGGCCAAGATCCAAGCCGAGACGCAAGTCCAGAAGACGGAGCGGGACATTGAGAAGGCGACAGCCGAGGCCGTTCTCAAGACACGCAAAGTCGAGCTCGATCGGGACGTGCAAATCGCGGGTATCCAAGCCGCCCGCAAGACCGAGGCCGAGGATGAAGACCTCAAGCGTGAAGTGCAGATCAAGCGCGCCGCCGCCGAGATGGAGCGTCTCCGTGCCACGGACGTTGTCAAGGCGAGCATCGCCCGTGAAGCCAAGCAGCAAGCGGCCGACGCCAGGGCCTACGAGATCGAGAAGGAGGCCCAGGCCAACTTTGAGAAGGACAAGCAGGCCACCGAGGCCACCGCCTACAAGACCAAGGTCGGCGTGGACGTGAAGGTGTACCAGATCGAGGCAGAAGCCAAGGCCAACTTTGAAAAGGCCAAGCAGCACACCGAGGCGGGCGTGTATGAGACCAAGGTTGGTGCCGACGCGCAGTCGTATGCGGCCATCAAGCTGGCGGATGCAGAGCTCCAACAGAAGCTGAGGGCGGCGGAGGGTATGAGCGCCATGGCGGAGGCGTATGCCAAGATGAGCCACGCGTTTGGCGGTCCTCAGGGTCTGCTGCAGTACATGATGATCGAGAAGGGCACGTATGTCGAGCTGGCCAAGGCGAATGCTGAGGCTATCAGGGGATTGCAGCCCAAGATTAGCGTGTGGAACACGGGCGCCGAGGCGGGCTCGGGGGGCGAGCAGAGCAGCACGGCGACCATGAGGAACATCTACCAGATGCTGCCGCCGTTGATGACGACCATCAACGAGCAGACGGGGATCACGCTGCCAGAGTGGCAGTTTGGACGGATGGCTGGACAGATGTCGGAGGTGGAGAGACGGGGACAGGGACAGGGACCCAACGGGCAGAAGTAAGTAGAAATGTCCTTGGTTTGGCTTTTGTTGGGTAATGGATGATACCACGGTTGGGTTGGCTTTTTTCTTCTGTGGTCTACGTTGACCGTGTCTTGTCGCTTGAATCTTTTTCCTTGAAATGGTGAGACAGATAGACTCCTCGTCGGTTAGGGTGCCGAGGTGGAGTCCACCCTCTGGGGGCCTCGCTTACAGCCAAGCCAACCGACTCTCCTCGTTCTCGAAGGACGGCCCCACATGGCTGGCCCCCAGAGGCCGGGGTGGCCAATGCGTGCACCTAACCGACGAGTTACTACCTAACCTTAATGCTTAAATGTGTACCAATTTGGTGGGGATTGACCTTAAGTCTTTCTTGTTCCAATTCCGTTATTATCAATCTTTATACCGTACCAAACATTTCATTGTAGAGGTTCAGTTGGGTCAAGCATGACGGGAGATGAGGATGGCCTTCTGGAACCCGTGGTTGAGCATGATGTGCTGATGGTTGTCGTGAATGCGTGGCTGGAAACGGATGATTGATCAAGGCAGGATGTCAAATGAGGAGTCGGCGTGGTGGGGAACCTGGAAGAGCCCGACGGACACACTTCGGGGTAAGGTGGGGTTTCGCAGGCCATCAGCCAATCGGCGTCTGCGCTAACCCTACTAAGCGTTCCTTCCCCATGGGGGAGCACCACTTACAGCTCCTCCCCCGCAGTCAAAGATGGAGTCGATGGAATGGACCCCCTCCAGGCGTCTTTCTTACATGGACTTGTTGACCCCCAGGCCACGTTTTCCCGCTCCTGGAACTGTTGTTCTTGTTTGTCACAAACAGCACACTCCGTCTCAAGCCGGGCAGCAGCAAATCCCAAAAATCCCCCCAAATGCGTACCACCTCGCCGAACGAACACGAACTCAACCAACCACCATCACTTGCCACTGGTGATCAGTGCCTTTTTTTCCCCGCCTTCCACCCCGTGTTGTGGGGGTGCTTGGCAGTCCCGAACAAGAACAATCCCGGACAACCCCGGACAAACATGCAGAATCGGCCCGATGTTATAGGTCTATCGACGCCGCAGACACCAAGGTTCGCGAACGGCGGCAGTAACGGGATTGGTCATTGGCTTGTCAATTGGCCCCAACATGGAACTCAAATCCCCAGACAACGAGACTCAGTCTAGAATCAGTCTAGAATGAACGCAGCATGACGACAAGTCCAGTCGAGGCCGATGGGGAACCTTTCGATGTCTCGGGACTACGTCTACAGATTTGGCTAGACACCATTGACAGACAACATGTCCAGCCTGACGGGACCCCTATCATCACGAACAATGGTTCCATGCAACTATGGAACCAGCTAGACCAGCCTAACTCGTGGTAGGTTCCAGTCGCCGCTTCCTTTTCCCCATCCGCTGCCCTGATTTGTCCCGGTAGAAGATTTAACCGACTGAGACACAACATGGCTGACATCCCCTCTTTTCTCCAAGGTACAGGTGCAACAAGAGTCTGGATTTGTCTTTATTTATATTGCCACGAGGCCCTCGGTGTTCCCTTTGAACGGCACAGCATCCTTCAACCGATACTCTTTATCCCCAAGGCCCAACAACTTCCAATGCCCTGCCGGTGATTTGGAACTTCACTCTCCATTCTTCCAACCCGTGTTTCCTCGTCCGATACCTACCCCTACACGGACGAATAGTCCAGACAACAACGACAACCACCGAGACACACCGTGACACACCGTGACACTCGACACCATGTTCTCGAGAGAGTGGTGGAGGAAGCGCTCCTTGCGAGTGCGCGATGACAAGGTCACAAAGGCAGCCGAACTCTCCCTCCGAGAATCCCTCCTTCCCCTCTGCCTTGTCACCATCCTCTTCTTCCTCTGGGGTTTCAGCTATGGCCTGCTTGACACCCTGAACAAGCACTTCCAGGAGGTACTCCACATTACAAAGGGGAGATCTGCTGGTCTTCAAGCCGCTTACTTTGGGTATGTCTTCCTCTCCGTCACTACCGCAACCTCCGCTAACCACTCTTTCTTCCCCCAGTGCCTACCCCCTCGCCTCCCTCGGCCATGCCGCCTGGATCCTTCGCCGCTTCAGCTACCGTGCCGTCTTTATCTGGGGCCTCTTCCTCTATGGCCTCGGCGCCCTTCTCGCGATCCCATGCATCAAGGCCAAGTCCTTCGCCGGCTTCTGTGTTTGCATCTTCATTATCGGCAACGGCCTGGGCTCTCTCGAGACGGCCGCCAATCCGTACATCACTGTATGCGGGCCGCCCAGATATTCGGAAATCCGCATCAACTTCGCCCAAGCTTTCAACGGTATTGGTACCGTCGTAGCCCCTGTCCTCGGATCGTACGTCTTCTTCGGTTTCGACGACAATGTCGCCCTCCAGAACGTGCAGTGGGTGTACACGGCCATCGCCATCTTTGTCTTTATCCTTGCCATCATCTTCTACCTCATCGAACTGCCCGAGATCACCGACGCAGACATGCAGCACCAGGCTGCTGAAACCCATGCTGGCGATGCCGACCAGCCATTCAGAAAACAATACCGCCTCTTCCACGCTTCGTTTGCCCAGTTCTGCTACACAGGCGCGCAGATTGCCATCGCTGGTTACTTCATCAACTACGTGACGGAAACACGCAAGGACACCGACTCCGCCTTGGGAGCTCAATTCCTAGCTGGTGCCCAGGGGACCTTCGCCATAGGCCGCTTCGCCGGGGCAGCCATCATGCACTTCATCCGCCCGCGCAAGGTTTTCCTCCTCTTCCTCACTGCATGCATCATCTTCATCGCCCCTTCGATTACCCAGAGAGAAAACACGGGCATGTCCATGCTCTACGTCACCCTCTTCTTCGAGTCGATCTGCTTCCCCACCATCATGGCCCTAGGTATGCGCGGGCTCGGTAGGCATACCAAGCGCGGGTCAGGCTTCCTTGTCGCTGGTGTCTTTGGTGGCGCCGTGGTCCCCCCGCTGATGGGCGCCGTGGCGGATATGCATGATACGGCGATGAGTATGGTTGTTCCACTGGCCTTCTTTTCTGTGGCGTGGACGTATGCGCTTGCCGTCAACTTTTGGCCGTGGTATAGGGATACTTGCGATGCGTTTACTACGGCGGAGATTGGTGTGAGGGAGAGGGAGGATGGTGTTGTTGGCAAGTCGGTCGTGGACGAGGAGGAAGCCGTGGGGATGGAAAGGCAGACAGTCGGGGAGAAGGGGCTGTAGTGACGAGGCTAGTGAGGCTGACCCTTGAGTGTGGTTTGGATTTGTGTTGAAGAGTTGAAGATACCAGTGGAGAAGATGAATGGAGGCCGGCCCAAGAGAAAGGGACGGTTGGATAGACGCCCTGATGATCAATGAATATTATAACTGTTATACATACTTCTGCCTCTCACCACCGTGTTCTTGAAAGAGATAATGAGTGTTCTTGCATGTTACAACTCTTGACGGCATCATCCAATACCCGGGCAGTTATGGTTTGGGATGACAATCTGATAGGACGAAAGAGAATTGTGATCTTCCTTTCATCGGGCGCTACACCATACTACCTCTACCTTACCTTAGTAACTTGTAACTATATCCCTCCACCTACATTTACCATGGAATCACCCTAGAAATATCCCTTGCCATTCGAACTTCGGTGTTCCATCAACATGCTCATTCTCAGGTTGTTGGTTGAACATGTTATATGGATATCAATCACACCTGCTCGATCCTAAGCAGCACAGTGATTGCCAATAAAGTGCCACTTCTCATTTTTGAGGGTTTCTCACTGCCTGATCCCGAATTTCAAGCACAGATAACGATTATACGTGGATACACATGCAGTTCCCCGGAATATCTTCCATCGTCCATTCCTTGCACTCTGCTTCTCAGTACCGACATTGATCCTTTCTTGTCCATGCTTGCTCGTTCTCGTACAGTACCGATGCTCATGTTGTACAACTCGACCGGGAGTTATCCCGTAGTCCAGCAGCAGTTCCCCGTCACGAGGTAACGTATGCCGGAGACGAGCATCTCAAGCTCCTAACGGCATATGCGATAACTTGGAACCTAGAAGGTATTCCCGGATGACTAGTGCCTGTATAGGTATCCAGCGACTTTTGTCTCCGCCATTTTTAATGGGTTCAAGCTTCCCCCTTCCAACTACTGAGTTCTTCCTTCTCCGCAAGTTCCCCGTTTCCCGGTTTCCCCTGACTTTCATGATTGATCACTCCGTACGAAACAAGCAAACACCCCATTACCAAGCGACCGTTCGATCTCTTCCAAATTTAATTTCGGAACTTTCCATCCTCGTCTCTCTGCCTTGTTCTGTCACTTGCTGCTTTCCTCGCAGTATTTTGCGCTCTCATTTGCTCTTCCGGTTTCCCCGGTGCTGTTATCACGGCACTCTCCGGCGGCAGGCGGTCGTGGGCGGTGGCTGTGTGCTTGGGATGCAAGCCATCACTTGGAGAAACTTCTGGGGAAGAAGCAAACATACAGTGTCTGTATCGGTTTCTCCTTGTCACCAAGTCTTGGCAGTTATGTAAGTGGTAGAGGTATGGGAGCGTGCCGATTCGAGAAATGAGTACTCCAATAACATGTGAGATCCCGAGGATGCGGACATTTCCGCCTCTCACTTTCGGTCTATGTTGGTATTTTACTGTGCCATCGGCGAGGTCCTGTATCATGGAACATCGAGCATCGAACACTGGGCGCAGTGGAAAACGTGGTGTGGCGGACATGCTCCTTCCTTTGTTTGTTTGCTTCCCCCACATTTTGGTGAGTTTTGTGATTGCTTCCATGTTCGTGGCTGTTTAGACGCCATTCGAAACATCGTATCATCAGCCTTCAGACTTTGGCTCGAAATGATCAGTAATCGCAGCAGGGATAGTATCGGCTGGGGCATGACGGGACTGTCAGGACACTTGCTGCAAACTTCAAGCTCTGGTAGCTTCAATGGTGTGAAGGATGAAAGAGAAGCCTAACACAAAGCATCATCATATGGTGATCGACAAAAGAGAGACCACATGCAACAAAATAACATGCTTACCTAGGTAAGGATTGCTTATACCTTTTGAGGTAACCAGGGTGTGCAAAGATGATGGACGGAAGGAAGTAGAAGTTGGAACTATAGCACTATGAACAGCTTCTATGAAGGCAAGTTAAACTTCAAACAGCGAAGACTCCAAAGAACTCCATGTTGCGAACATGACCTCCTCTTGCTTCTTAAACACGATGTCCAACTGTACCTTAACCACCTGTCCAAAAAGTCGCTCAAGACATGAACAACTGAAAGTCAGAAACCCTCCGTCATCCAACCTTACGATACCATCATACACCTCCACCTGCTTCAAGTCTTACTTACACCTTACCAAAGAACTCCTTTCCCTCCTCCAATACCAATTCCCTCTTCCCCTCCCTAACCTTGTAACCCAGCTGGAAGTCAACCGGCTCCAAGATGACATGACTATTCGTCTTCTGCGTATCAATCGGCACCTCCTTGCCCGTCACCGGACATGTCTTGGGCGTAACGTCAAACGCCCAAAGAAGCGCCGCGCCAAAGACGAACATCTCGTCGTCGACAATGTTCTGCCCGAGACAGGTGCGCCGGCCCCAGCCGAAGGAGTGCATGGAGGATCCTTCGCGGAAGTTGGGGTAACGGGTGAGAGGGGCTTGGAAGCTTGGGTAGGCAGGGTCAAGGTAGCGGGCTGGGTTGTAAGTTTCTGGGTCTGGGTATTTCTGGGGGTTGCGGTTGATGGTCCTGGGTGGAAGTGTTAGTGATACTGGTTACATGGTAAAGAGGTGCAGGGAGACATACCATTCACAGGCTAGCACAATTGTGCCCTTCTTGATCTTCACGCCCCTAAACTCATCATCCCTCTCCGCCTGATGTGGAACGCCAAGTGGGACTCCACTCCTCCATCTGACCGTCTCCTTCAGGCAGGCTCTGAGGATGGGCAGCTTCTCAAAGTCTTTCATGGTCGGCATCCGGTTGCCGCAGACCTCGTCAATCTCTGCTTGCGCCTTGCGCTGCCACTCCGGGTGCAGAGCCATAGCCATCTGGAAGAACTTGAGCGGGCCAGAGATGGTGACGACGCCGACGAGGTTGAGGAAGCCGATCATGCAGGAGGCAAAGGTCTCGTCCTTTTCGGGTTGATCGAGTGGGTCTTTCTTCTCGTATGCCTCCTCAGTTGCTGTGGAAGAGGACTTCTCGGCGTTCTTGACATCTGGACCTGGGGCTCTAGCGGTGGCAGGCATCGATGGCGCCGTATCCTGCAGCATCTGCTCGAAGTACCTATAAGCCCAAGTATCACTTGGCAGCTCACCCTTCCTCATTCTTTCTTTAGCCTTCCTAAACAGGCCCAACCACCATTGCCTCAGCTCTGACTCTCTCTTGACTTCGTACTTGTACCATGGGTTAATGCTGGCTGGCAAGGACCACAACGGCGTCATGGTGTTGGTGATGGGCCCTGAAACAGACATGCAATGCAGCGTCTTGTCGGCGCTGTCCCCGTTCAGGCGGCCTTGCGTAGCGTCATCCCAGGCTAGGCGGCTCATGACACGACCACAGTACTCGCGCGTGTGGTCAAGGAAGCGATCCGGATCGAAAAGCAGCACGACCAGGAAGCGGCGCATCTCCGACTCAACGTGCCCGTAGAAATGGTGCTTGTAGGCAGCGGCCATGGCGGCGTGGGCCCATTTGCGTTGCGACTTCCAGGTGTCTATTCTCCCATCAATACATGTTCCATCATTACCTCAGGCAGTCAGGGGAAAGAGAACTCACCATGACGATCCATCAAAGCACTATAAACCACTCCCTCCTTGTGGCCAATCAAGCTCCGAATCTGCGGCCGTCCAGAGTAGATATGTCCCCGTTTCACCAAAAGCTCCTCGGCAATCTTCTCATCTGATATAATGAGGAAGGTGGCGTCCGGGACCGAGGTCGTGTAGATGGGGCCAAACTCGTCCGCCCACTCCTTGAACTTGAGCCAGAGTGAGAAGCGTGGCAGATCGTGAATGCGCCCGACAAGGGGGAACTGGCGCGGGCCGGGGAACTTGGCTTTGCTCCCCGAAGAGCCCACCAGGCCAGCCTTCTTACGCCATGATAGGATTTGCTGCACGACGGATATGAGGAGAGACGGGATGGCGAGGTAGAGAATTATGAGGGTGAGGTTGGATGTCTCCATGATGGGCTGAAAGAGATGACGGCCGATGGTAACTATGTGGGTAAGGTGGACGTTCCGTCCTGTCTTATGTGGACTGGTCTTGTTGTGTAGCTCACAAGTGTGAGGCGTCGAGTAGGGGGGGTGGCCAAGTCCAGTGCCTTTCTTTCACTGTGTTCTCTGTGGGTGAGATATGATCGATGGGATTGGGGCGCGCTTGGACTATAAGCGACGTAGCAAACAAAAAAAACCCGAGGGCTGAAGAAGAACGTCAGGCCGAATTAGGAAAAGAGTCGCGTGGGGATGGTGATGAAGTCGATGAAAGACAACAAGTCAACGACGACAGATACACTCTTGGTATGATTCCCCCTTTTGCTCAACCCGGAGAAGAAGTGGAAGAGAAAACCTAGGTCTAAAATGGGGGAGGGTCGGAGGCCGGGAGTAGCACGCTTAAATCTTTTCCATGCATTCCAGCCGCAAGACACACACGGAGACCGAGACATCTCTGTTCCAGCAGGGAGGGACACGAGAGGAAGTCGAGGACTGGGTGCGGGCCCAGCGGTGACAACTCACAACCCCTTCAGTCCAAACCGACTGCGGCGACTGGGCAAGGTCGTACACTACCTTCTAGATACGCCCCCCTTCCTCCTTTCCGCCTTTTCCTTCCATTGATCGTGACTGAGACCCTCCTTCGGCGTTGGCGCCATTTTAGAAGAGATTGGCTGCCTGCCGTCCAGTCGACAGTCGTTCGCTTGGAGTCAGACTTGGAGAGAGTCCGCCAGTCCGGAGTGATTCTTATCAGGCTGATCTAATACGATGGCAGCATGGCACAGGAGGTATCAAGAGTTCCTGGTTCGTGGGAAGCGAGTAGAGGTAGCTGGGTAGGATGGAGATAGCTGCGTAAGTACCGTACCAGGTATACGGGCATCTAAACGACCAACAAGGGGATATAGGTAATGTTCCAAATTGCTTGGCCACCGGACCGAAACCGCAAACGGTACGTGTCCGAGAGAATGCTTATTCAGCCTAAGTATATCTCCTCATCGCGGACAGGGCACCACGCTAGGAGCTTGCAGTGCAGGAACAGCAGTAACGAGCACAATGGCCGGGCACAGCTCGAAGCAGAGTTGGGCATTCCAGGGTAGGTGTAGGTATTGCCGCTTGCATCCATCCACCCCAACTGTTGTCGCCCATTCCCTGCACTATATGGACTACGAGAATGGGAGTACAAACAGTAAGGTACACAAAGCCAAGAGAGGATGGCTGAAGACTTCCATCGCTGAACGACATGAAGTCAAGACACTTGATAGTCGAGGAGTTGCCTTTTCGGGATCAAGCAGTCCAATCCGCTCTGAGGATTTGCTGCTCCCTGTTCCCAGTTTATGGACGCCACAGCCGCTCTGACAGCTTCGACATTGGACGAAGCTGCTGTCTAGGGAGAGTGTATGTCTAGGTCAAAATAGCAGGGAGCATGCGGCAGGAATATGACAGGGGCATCCCCGGGGTATGGGTCGGAGTGAAGTGAACAAGAGGATTATGTGTATTCCCGACGCAAAGAATTCCAAAGAAAGATGGAAACGTAGCCTGGTCCAAATGCCGTCTTTCGTCTTTCGGGAACAGGACGGCAGGACCACGTTTTGGGGAATGTCCGTAGCCTGGGGTGTGCGAGCTGTGTTGTTGGACGGCAAATGGTGCCAAAGGACCGAAGCGAATTAACTTGCACACCATGCACCCTTTTTAGGCGCAGCTATGATTCGCGCACACACGGGACAGCAACCCGCACGATCCTAATGCAACATAAATAAACGACCCGTAAAGCGGAAACAACCTCATGATACACTGCTATACAGAGGCCCCGGGACGTCATATCGATCCCAGCAACGGGGACAACGCCTCCCGGTCGGAGTTTACATAGCACATCTTTCAAGAACCTTGCGCTTACTTGCATGCTCGGTTAGCGTGCCTACTGAGGCTTCAAGCAGCGAGCGAAATCGATATCCCTGACTTCATTCGGGTGAGGCAAGGGAGACCCGGGCCCGAGGAGCCGAATGGGCCGTCCACGGAGGGGGGAGAACGGGGGGATGTGAGTGCAGGGCAGAATCAGCGGCTGAGATGAGAGCAGCAGGTCCAAAGATACGACAATGGCCATTATGAGTGAGGCTGCGCTGGCAGTCGTGGTTGGCTCAGGCGCCGCCCCAAGATAGTAGGTAGGAGTCTTCTTGATCGGACCGGTTTCAACGTGGACCACAATGAAGCTGACAAGCGATGGGGAGACCAACATAGGGCCAACAAATCATGTCATGGTGATGATCGCTTGATGGTCAGAGGTAGAAACTTCTGCACCCGAGATAGCAACGCGGTGTGACCATGGCATAGCGGAGGTGAGCTTGGCACTTCCCCCTTGCTCCCCCGTTTCCTCCGCTTGTTTTCTTTCTACCTTGAGAAGGTTTCAGTTCAACTGGGGCCTTTCAAGATCGAGGTAACTGCCGTGTTCAGGAACAAGTACCCTGATATGGGTCGGTGAAGCGTAGTGCGGCCATAAGCGGAGAACGACACGTGCCTTGCGTTGATGCGGAAGCAGTTTGGGTGAGCAGACCGGCAATCACACATTACAGTCCAAAGGCTTCCTGCTTTGGAGTGCTGCATTGACGTCGCCGGGATCTGTATGGCATCGTGACCACTTGGTGTGCTGTGCCGGGAGTGAAAAAGGGTGATTATGTTGCACTACATTGGGATTGCCCCGAAAGTCGGCATGATCTCAACGCCAGCTTGCTCACCAAAAAGCCACTGGCGTAGTATGTTTTCTTGGTGCAGTTGAATCAACGAAAATACCTGGTAATTGACCTGCTCCTGTGAGTTCAGCTCCGGATCATTGCACTTGGGCTGTTCTATTGGGGTTGAAGACTAGAAGGATGTGGTATGTATGGGTGGTCCCTGGCATACTTTGACAGCGAGACAGTTTCGAGCACAGCAGACTGTCGTCTAAGGGACAATGTGACTTTCCACAGCAGGTACCGTCGTCAATGGCGTTATGAGCGCGTATGGGTGCAGTGGGAAGGGGATGCTGGCCTTTGGCATCGTCCGTTACACAATGGCTTAAGCAGCGACCCTGTATGGGTGGAGACCGTCCACCTATCAAAGAGGCCGACGCCGACGTCGACAGGCCTTCTCGGGCTGGTATCCGTATCACGCACATGCAGCGAAGAGGCTTTGCGGTGGCGCCCCGTCTGCGTCTCCCATCGGGACCGAGAGATGCATCAAGGCCGAAGTACCTAGCGATATGAATGCCAGTGGAGGTGTTGATACCCAAGACCGCTGGTGGGGAATGAAATCAGAATCTGCTCTTCTTGGATTCAAGCCTCTATTGTTGTCGTCGTGACGATGGCTTTTCCCTTTGGAGGGCGACTTGCGGTTGTGATTGGAGGATTCTGGTCGCGGTACAACTCTTCAGCTTCTCGGTGGTGATGTGGGCGCGATTGGCTGCGGAGATGGTTACTGTTGGGGGGGGTACTTTTCCTCCTTGACTCAGGCATCGGGGAGTGATCTCGCATGATCTCAGCCATCCATGGACCATGGACCATGGACTACTGTGTAGACACCCAGGGACCAGGGAAACGGGGCGGGCCGCGCAGGGATGGATCATAGGGTGAGGGAGTGAGCACTGGGAGAGGTAACGTTAGCAAGGGCTCAGCCAGAAACTGTGAGAGAGTAGCCAGAGTAGCGAGAAAAGCCAGAGCAGTCAGAGCAGCCTCATGACGCAAATGGCCACTCATGCGGTGAGTTGTAAAGGGTCCCAGGTGGTACGTAGGAGCTGAGTATACCTCCTGGGAGTTTAGTGCTGACCAAGTTGATGGGTCGATATTCAGAACATGACGGGACATGTGAAGAAGCTGAGGGCGCGCATGGTGGATGTAACTCGAGATCCATTTAAGGAGCATGCCCCTGATCTCCTGAAGCTGTGTGGCTTTTCCCTGAGTTCCCTTAAGAGGTGGTTGTCGTTGTCTCCCTCTACCCGTGATGTTTGTCGATATCCGAAATTAAGTTGAAGACTGACGTCGAGACAGACAACAACACACAGAAAGAGCCGCAATCAGCAACGCAACCTCCACATTTTCCTTATCCAAGGCGCCGGTCAGGACGGGAACCGTTGTAGCGTTACCCATGGATTAGGAGTAGGCGCTTCCCTAGATTGGGGCATACAAGCATTGGTGTATGGGTGGACGCCCTTGTCTGACAGGATCCAGTCTCTGTCATCATCCGTCTCACGTGCACGCTGCTTGTCTGACGCTGACAACGTCCCAGTGCAATGGACCATGGTGTGATTTGGAAGACCAAGGGAAGCAATTGAGAAAGAAAGTAAACAGAGGGAAGGTTATCGTTCCACCGAGGGACCCCTCTGTGCTCCAGGGATGAAAGTCATGTCATGGCTTTGTTCGAGGTTAAGACATCCAGATGGAGTTTGATGAAAGATGGAAGGGGACGAGAACTGTTCTGGGCGGGAATTGTTAGTGGGATGGGGGGTTCGCTCTGCAACCTAGAATGCAGTAATGTACCCAAAAAGCCCCCTTTTGGGGCCAGCTGAGTTGCGAAAACAAATATTCAGCACTGCGTGAGCGTGTCAATGAGTTTTTTTTCTAGTGATTTCCTTGCTGAAAAGTGAGAAAACTTGGATGATTGTCAGAATGGAGATGTTGGGAGGTACTTCAGAGGGGATTTTGCTGTGAGGTGCTATTCCCTTTTGGGCCAGTTTCTTGGACCTGGATACCGCTCTCCAGTGGGATGGAAGAAGAAGTGCACAGGCCACTTTACCAAGGTGCTTCTTAAACGCTTATGCCAGGGCCTCGACGTTCCAGGCAGCAGAGTCGAGTGCCTGAGCCATGTAAGTGGAACTGATCCTCAAGAGTAAACGGTTTCGATAGCTTGAGAAGTATCAACTGATTGCTTCTTAAGCTCGTACAAGTCATTAAATAGATTCTTATCCTCCCGCCATGGTCGTGGGTCTGTGTTGGATGTGCCTTGCAGCGAACCTGTTTGTAAAGCTCTGGTATATGCGTTTAAGACTCGGGCGGGGCAGCTGACGGTACGTACCTTGGGTTACAGCTCCCAAGCGCGGGCTGGTTGGGTTGATGTCATTTCGTGATATCCTCGAACACGATCGCCAAACACAAAGTCAACAAAGTCAACAACATCCGCATCTGCCATCGCTGGCAGCATACACGCCCGGCCAGGATGACGACCACCCACGTGCTGTCGCTTCCCTTCCGGAAGTCGACCCAACTGTCACTATCGCGCGCCATCCAGCAGTACATCTCCAAGAAATACGACCAACACCCGGACATGTTCCGCCATGACCTCGACACCATCGATACTCTGCGCCGCGACGCCATCAACGTCCGAGAAGCCCACCCGAGTGGCATCAAGAAGCTCCAGACCTACGCCGCCCAGCTAGTGTGGATTGGCGGCAAGTTCCCCATCGATGTCGGCGCCGACTTCACGTGGTACCCGGCCCTGGGCTACCACACCGAACACCCTCTCGTCCAGAATAACCTCAAGTACGAGCTGATGAACGTCCTCTACAACCTCGCCGCCCTCTACTCCCAGCTGGCCATGGCTTCCAACCGCAACAGCACCGAAGGCCTCAAGACCGCTGCCAGCTGGTTCTCCCACGCCGCCGGCGTCCTCACCCACATCAAGACCCAAGTCCTGCCCGAGCTGCGCATGCCCAACCCGCCTGACGACATGGACGAAGCCACCCTCGAGTCCCTCACACAGCTCTTCCTCGCCGAGGCGCAAGAGTGCTACTGGCAGAAAGCCGTCATGGACGGGTACAAAGACGCCTCCATTGCCAAGCTAGCCGCCCGTGTATCCGACCTATACAACGAAGCCGGCGAGGCCGCTATGCGCAGCGAGGCCATCAGCTCGGCCTGGATCCACCACATGAGCGCCAAACACCACCACTTCGCCGCCGCCGCCCAGTTCCGCGCCGCCAACGATTGTCTCGAGCGGAAGCAATACGGCGAAGAGATCGCCCGGTTGCGGGACGCCCTCGCCTGCGTCAACGAAGGACTCAAAGAAACCCGAGGTGGCTACCTCAGCAAAGCCGTCGTCGAAGACCTGCAAGGCCTTAAGCGTCGCCTGGAAGAGGACCTCAAGCGCGCCGAGGTCGACAACGACCGCGTCTACCTGCACATCGTGCCGCCCAAGACCGAGCTCAAGCGTCTTGACCGCGCCAACATGGCCGTCGCCCGCGTGCCTCCCCAGGTGGCCAAGCCGTACGAGTTTCTGGGCGACCACAACGCCGAATTTGGGCCGGCTTTGTTCACCAAGCTCGTCCCCTTCGCCGTACACGTGGCCGTTTCCATTTACGAAGAGCGTCGCGACAGGCTTGTCAACAACTCCATCATTTCCGAGCTCGAGTCTATGACATCCAAACTTCACGAGATTCTTTCCTCTCTCAACCTCCCCGGTTCCTTGCAAGCCCTCGAAAAGCCGCTCGGCCTTCCCGGCACCTTGGTCCAACACGCCGACGAGATACGCCAAGCCGACGCCCTCTACCGCCTGCAGCAAGGCTTCACTGATATTGAAAAGCTCTGCTCTTCGGACCTAGCCATCTTCGAAGAAGGCCGGTCCCTCCTTCTCGCCGAAGAGGAGGAAGACTCTCGTCTCCGCCTCAAGTACGGTACCGAACGGTGGAACCGCCCGCAATCTCGCCAGGACCCGTCCCCCAATGGCGGGGCAAAACTCTGGCGACAGGCGCAAGATATCGAAGGTTACTTTGGCTCTTCGACAGCCTCGGACCAGGTAGTCCGCGAGAAGTTTAACGCCGTGAAGGACACACTCGCCATTCTTGCTGGGTCGGACCGATCAATAATGGATTTCATCCCCAACTCGCGACGGACGGACATCCCCGAGAGCTTGAAGCCGGCCCTCGGAAGGCTGCGAAGCGCCTACAACGACGTGCAGCGTCTCGAGTCCCGCCGGCGCAAGCGCGTCGAATCTTTGCGCGCCCGGTCTCGCGCAGACGACATCAAGCCTGACATTCTCGTCGAAGCCGCCCGCTTAGAACGCGCGTACCCAACCACCGCCATAGCAACAGCACACTTTGAAGACTTCTTCGAGAAACGCCTCGACCGGCTATACGAATCGGAGCTGGAGGCCGTGGAAAGGGATAAGCAAGAGCAGGAGAAGATCGTACAGGAGGTCAGGAGGGCAAATAAGGAGTTTGAGGCGCAAAAGAGGCAGGTGGATAGAGCGGGTGGGGGCAATGGAGAAAGAGAAAAGGCTCTCCAGAAGCTGGATGCGGCGTATTACAAGTACAAGGAGATTGTGAGCAATGTGGAGGTCGGGAGGAAGTTTTATAACGATTTGAGCCAGATTGTGGAGCAGTGGAGGGGGTTGGTTAGGGGGTGGGTGAGCGAGCGGAGGAGGGATGCGAGAAGTCTTGAAGAGTATGTTGCCTTTTCTTTTGGTCTACCCTTCTTCTTTGTTTCTTTTCCCGAGCGTGTCTCCCTCTTCACCTTTTGTTTCCGGCAAGCTAACCAAGTCTCAACAGGGAAATCAACATGCCCCCTCTGTCCTCCCTCAACATGCATCAACCATCTTTTTCGTTTCAACAACACCAACACCAACAACCACCACCACCACCACCGCAAATACCTTTCCCTGAACCCATCCAGGCTCATCAGCCAATAGTTGAACAAGCGCACATCCATAGCTGGGCAGACAACGTGCCACAACAACAGCCGAAGCCAGTAGCTCCTGGGGCGTGGGCACCAAACATGGGGATAAAATTCGGATCCCCTGGGGGTCAGGGGCAGCAGGCCCAACAAGAGCAGGGGCAACAAGGACCGGTAAACGCTACATGGGATCCTTCTCAGGGGATCCGGTTTGGGTAGCCGGTAGTTGTGTGCTAAGGTGAGTTGATGGGGATAGGAAAGGAGACGGAGATGGGTCAAAGTCGCTACCGTCCGCGACTGGAGTGCATGTTTGGGAATATCATTCGATGGGTTTGACACATCTAGTAAAGGCATAGCATAGCGGGATTGGAATTCACTGTATCTTTCTACGGACGGGAAAATGCAAGACTAATTGTGGTACTCAGCGCATCTACTCGATTTCAAATCCTTCTTTTGGACTTCGCTCTCTCGTGTATCAGGTCCATCCCAAAGTTAGAGCTTGGAGGGCGGTTTGTATGCAGACGACTGGGGGCAGGTTGAAGAACCGCAATCCTTCTTGATCCTCTGGACCTTGTACCAGTGGGAACCGCCACTACCGTTGCTGGGAACGAGAGTGCGGATTTCTTGGATGGTGCACCTTGATTGTTGTCAGTTTCACCGCACCGGCCGCCTTCCGACCTCCAAAACTTACATTGTGTCTGCGTGTTATGACTTGCTAAATTGACGAGTGGTTCCTTTACTGTTATCTTGTCGAAAAGCTTGTTGATGTGGATGGTGGGATTGGGAATGACTACCTTAGTATTACGTTCGCGGTCATTGCAGAGGATTTATACCATGATATGTCCATCATTATCCGCCACTCCTCCCACCGGTTCCCCCTCTTTTCGCGTTCCTTAATGCGTCATGCCTCATGACCGTCCTCGTAACTATCGCCTCGTAACTCGAAACAAGACCTGCGCTAGGGCAAACTGGAGGCATGGAGCTGTCAGTAAAGAACATGAAGCTCAGCAATTGCAGCAACAGCATCAATCCGAACAGCAATGTTTGCCTTGACTCCTCTCAAGAGAACCTCGAATACGTCAGGTTCTGTGTCTAGACCACCGATGTGTGTTGCGGTGAAATCTGGTAGGCGTTTGTCATCGGCATAACCCATAGAGAAGCATCAAGCAAATGACTCTTACCTTCACTTCACTCAACCGCTCGCCCAGTGCCAGCCCTTCTTTCCAGCGGAAGCATCGTGTTGAGTGGACTTGGACCTGCTCCAGCTTTGGCAAACTTCTCGGGTTCGAGTTTCAATGAGCTGAGAGAGGTGTCATGTACAACTTGAAGCCAAACCATCGTTGTTCCCATCTCATCTTCAGGTCAGACTCGGAAGAACGATGCATAAAGATTCGTTATTGGCAGGCGCAAACCTGGAAAGAATCAGCAACGATAAGAGTTAAGCAAGCAGGAGTGGAAGTTACTCCTCGCGTATAAAGACACTTCTCCTTCTCGAGCAACGATCAACTTCTTCTCAGCATCATTTACAGCAGCATCACTTCCACCCCACCACAGCCAGAACAACAACATTCGCTAAACGCATCACCAAGAATACCATTAACCTTAAACCAACAGCCAAAATGTCAGTCCACAACCCTCCTCCGTCCTGTCCCCTCTTTCCTCAACCCTCGTCCCCCAAGTTTCGAGAACAGACACTAACACTTTGACCTCCCCAACAGGTGCCACGAGGAAGAAGTCCGCGAAGTCGTCGCCACCTCCGGCAAGGATAACTGCAACACATGCACCAGAACCACCAAGGTCAAAAAGGACTGCGGCTCCAAGAGCTGCCCCCAGTCGTCGTCTTACGAGCCTCCCTCCAGCAGCTCGGATAAGAAGTAGGAAGAGACGCCGTCGCTGTTTAAGAGTGTTTGGGAGGAGTACAACCTGGACGTGAATCGAAAGCAACAACATAAACGCGGTGATGTGGGTTATGAGATTGATGATGGTCCGGAGACTCGTCTGGACAATAAGCGCCCCGCGCCCGCAGAGTTCACGGGTCAGGGTGGATCGAAGAAGGGTAAAAAGGAGGAATAAAGGAGGCGAGAGTAATGGGGGGGAGAAAGGGTATGAAGGGGATACGGACAAGGGGTTTCGGGGTGATGGAGGTGCCCATTTGAAGGAAGAAGCTATTTGGAACTAAAATCTAGATGGCGCGAGGAACTCTAGGGATGGGACACGGAGAACATGAAAGGAAACAAAGGGTGGCAGCGTTTATGTTTTTTTTTTTGGGTGGGTCAGCGCAAGTCGAGTTGGAACGGAAGACATATCATTGATGACAGCCTTAATCGAAGCAATGGTCAGCCTTCGAATCCATATTTGCCCCTCGGTTTTGACCTTTGTTCTTGATACTCACACTTGTTGGTGTAACAATGTTGGTTATAGGCGGGTGTTGGCTGTGGAAGATGGCGGTGGCCGGCCTGTTGGTTCTAAACATTGTATCGGGTCGTTGGCAGTGCGTGGGTGTGTAAAAAAGACGGCATCCCTGATGATGCCGTTGGACAACTGACCTACATCCAGTTAAACGCATCATGTTCTTTGATCAATGCTCGGTAGTCCCAACAGGAACCCTTTAGCGAGATATTTTGAGGAAGTATAAACGTCCATCGACCTCTACCGACTGGAAACTCAACCTTCGGAATCAGGAGTAACGCATCCGACCACACAACTAGCAGACTCACTCATAACACAATCAGGAGCCACTATTTCCTCCAGACAATCCTAGGCCACAAGTGCATTACCACAGACAACACATAACGATCAAAATGTAACGTTCTCAGGACCCTTGACACCGTATACGGGTTTAAAATTCCAGACCAAAGCAGAGCCATCCTGCCGTTTTCGAGACAATTCACTAACGCGGCCTCCACAGGTGTCAACAAATGGTAACCGATGAGGGGGGATCGAAATGATCGATTGCACTTCGCCCGACTGCCCGACATCTGTTCCATCCTCCGAGTCCTCGAATAGTCAGTAAGATATCGACAAGAAGATGAGGAGCAGCGAAAGGAGCAGCAACTGGAGCAGGAGGGGGGGCCACTGGGGCACTAAGCCAATCTATCTACACTGCCGCTGAACCCGACCTCACGCACACGAGGACGGGAGTCTTGAGCTTGAGGTTTCGATCGAAGCGGTGCCGAAGGGATATGCTGGATACAACTTGCCGACATGGTAGACTGCCTAAGGTAGCTATTGCAGGTGATCAATGGAATGGATGAGATCAAGGCCCTTCTTAGAAGGTTCCTAGAAGGTTTTATGCGCTGGTCGCAGGATGGATGTGATTTTCCTTTGTCGAGGGGCAGAGGCAGCTGAGGTTTTTGGGAACATCAACGGCAAAAATGTTCAGTTGCAACGGCTTGTTTCCAAGCAAATGTCTCTTCTTCCTGTTTTACTGAAGATCGGGACACTTGCTTGGAAAAATACAACTGAATCTGGTGGATCTTCGTCCCTTCCTTTGCTAGCCGTGACCGTCATGGTGATAACCGCAAAACCGAAGGAAAGAACCATCCCGTCCTCCCCCACATACATCCCCCACCTTCCAAAAAGTAGCAAAAAGACATACAACACCAGGGTATTCGACCGTCACCGACCCGACTACTAACCTGGCCCTCACTGGCTTATCTAGGGGAGAGCGGACGGGATCCCGAGTTTTGCCCAGTGGGTGTGGTCGTATGTGAATGCTGCTGATGCCCGTCGTCCAGATGATGGGAGAGGAACCATGGGATGGCTCTTATGAAGGGTGGTTCGTATTTAGCCCGTAGACAGGAACATATGCTTGATGTGCTATGGAATAACTTCAAGTTTGGCCCGACCGTCATCGACGAATGGGACTTTGGTCGTGTGTGATGACCGGCCGCAACTTGCAAGGAAGAAGCTAGCATTGAATGAACAATCACCGTATCCTCCAAAGAACAAAAAAAAAAATAAAACAGAGGTACGAAGACACGTAGTCCAACCAAGCCTTCTTACCTCATCATTCGCAGACTCCAGTCCCAATCCCCATTCCAAAACACCAACCCAAGCATCAGCGTGGCCCAATCGGCACCAACGGGGAGATACCTTAAGCAGTCAGCACACGTCCCCCGCAAATCGTATCAGCGATCACTATCATCACACACAAGCAGCATGCCCGAATAAGGTTGATCATACCTTGCAGGACTCTGCTTACTTCTGGTACATCGCAGATTTACGTCTGACAGACTCGGTCCCGAGAGGATGAGCCGTACGGACAACCCCAACTCGACTCCTACCGTCGAGCCGTGAGCCGTCGATCCATGTTGAGGCTGAAGCTGCGAGATACCGGCACAGAAGTTTAGCCGTCGTATCCGATGCTGTTGGTTGCTAGTACCATGACGACGGTAGTGCTTAGAGGTCTTGGTGTGCAATTCTGGGTGTTGTTGTATCAAGATGCCGGAGTGGTTGGTTATTGGTGGTGATGTCGTCGGGTGGTAAGCACGGGATGGTTCGGCTGGCTTTGGGTTGAGCTGTTACTGCACTAACAGCCCTGGCCGCAAACTGAAGAGAGTGGGTCCCACTTTCTGTTAGTGCACGATGCAAACCGTCCATGACTGCAGGAAGGAGCAGACAAGGTGAAATGTAACATATTGAACAGTTCCCAATAGTACAATTACAAGTAAACGTTTTGCTATGAGAATCATAACTCCTGTCCAAACAACCACAATAAACATTGTAATCTCAACCGGTACCTGTGAATATACCTTCATGTCCTGTGGATGATCTATCCTAATCCCAGCACATCTCATTTCCATTTCTATCCCAGTGCATCATCATCATTAGAAGGTATACTATTGTTAATCGACTTTCCTTCACTTCTCAATACTCACGACATGCTTACTCCGTCATATTAGGCAACCAAACAAGCTCCACCACGCCATCGAACCGGCTCATTGGCGTCGCGCCATCTGCCAGCTTCCACCTCCAGTCGTCGTGCTTGCGAACATAGATCTGTCTGACCTCCTTGACCTTTCTCCTTTCTCCCGTCGTCTTCTTCTTCTCCTCCTTCGCAACCCCATCTTGTCCCTCCTCACCTTGATCTCTCTTGTTCGCCCCCTCAGCACCCTTCTCCTCCTCATCCTCCCAGATAATCTCGGCCTCCTGCAAATCCCAGCTCAACTTCCTCCCCGTCTTGGCCAACCCCGCGCGCTGCGGTCCCCACTTGAAATCCAAGTTCCACCCCTTATAATCCGGCGCGGAGCGGAAAGTCCCCTCAAGCTGGTCGAAATCCAGATCGTCGGTGCCCTCAGGGTAATACGCCACTGAGAACCCGTTGCTGATGACGAAGTCGTCGGCGGTAAGGAAGCGCTGCATCATGCACTCCTCTCCGCAGAGGTGCGAGACCTTGGTGTAATGGAAGGGTAGAGCAGAATGCCAGCCTCCGCCGCGGTAGTGGTGCAGAGAAAGGGGTTGGATGCCCGACTCGTAGAACCCAGACGGATCACCGAGCATGTCCAGCTGCCAGAGCGAGTCCAAAAGGGTGAGGCGGACGGGTGAGTGTTCGTAGATGCACTTCCTCAGCAAAACATCACCCTGGGGGCCCCAGCCGGTGTTGGCTTCCTTGATCTTCTCGGCACTCTTGCACTGCGAAAGGTTCTCAGTGACGATGGCAGCAAGTGGGACGGAGAGGAAGACACCGGCGCCGCCAAAGGCTTGCTCTCCGTGGCGCATGACGTTGTTAGAGTCTTCGGAGAAGGTGCCGATGTACTTGGGCTTGGTGTGGTCGTAGGTTTCGAACTGGGCGATGAGAGCGTGCAACGAGGGGAAGAAGGTGTCGTCGTCGCAGGTCACGAGCCACTTCTTCTGGGGGCGCAGAGGGTGGTTGTACAACGTGGGAACGAGAGTCAGATAGCGGACGGCCATTTCGTCGGAGGGCGAGGAGCGGTAGACATCGACGTCGATGCCGACGGAGGTGAGCTGCTCGTGCACGTCGGCCATTTCCGAGTCGGAGGCGCCCATCAGCATCAGAAGGAGCTTCCCGCCGTTCGAGGAGCCGTTGTTGTCGGTTAGCCAGTACTTCCACTCGTTGGTCGGGTTCGTCTTTGGGTCAACGAAACGCTTGTAGGTGGTAGAGACGCCGAACATGAAGTCGGAGGCATTGGCGGTCGAGGGGTAGGGCGAGCGGGAGACGGGCACGACGAGAGGGGCCGGGCAGGCCTCGGGCTGGTAGTGCTTGTTGACGTCAACAACCTTAACGTGATCAAAGAGGAAGTCTTGGTCGAGCTTGGTAAGAGACTTGCGGGCGATGGGCTGACGCGAGACTTGGATGTAGCGGCGTGTGTACTCGAAGCGGTCTTGAAGCTTGTATTTCTTCTTCCATTCCCTCAAACGGTCCATGTCGTAGTCACAGTGCATGTTCCCGTGGGTGGAAACGTTTGCCAGATTGTTAGGATGATCTGGCTGGTGATTCCCAGTCATTTCGACCGGAGTATGGACACCGTCTCCTCCCCATCCTGATTGTTGGTGATTGCTACCGAGTGGTCGTTGAGAGGATACGGCTTCCTTGGCAGTATTGGCCGTCTTAAGGAATGCTGCCCGGAGGTCGATTTCTCCGCTTTGTTGTAGAAGTAGAGTGCCGAAAAGGGATATTGTGATGAAAAGGACGAGCGCCTTGGCGAGAGGGTTCCGCATGTTGAAGCACCGGTGGGGTGCTGGTATTATTGCCCCCATTTTGGACATGTGTGTCTGTCTATGTGGCTTGTGTATGTACGATATTGTGGTGTCAGAGGTCGACCGCGTGTTGCGGAAGACGCAACTAGTGATTAGAGAGGGTTCCCTAAGTCGTGTCTCGTCTCGAGGAGGAAAAGCGAGGGAAATGGTATGGTCTGAGACTGTCTGGCTCTCGTGGCGATGGCGGCCGGGCGGTCACGTATATCTCGGTGGTGGCCTTGAAACGAGAGTAATGGCCTGTAATCGAGTACAAGTGACGACTGTTTGTTTCCCGTGGCACGAATCCGGCGTGCTGCTTCCGTTGGTGGTAGTGTAGTTGCACGATGGAGGAAGCACAGGAGGGAAAACGAAGGACAGAAAGAGAAAAGTGGGAAACTGGGAGGACTGGGGCAAGCGAGTGTAAGTGGGAGGACTGACAGACAAAAAGGGGTAGAAGAAGAGAAGAGGAAACCCTTTCCCTTTTGTCACACAATGCCCGTTATGTTTGGGATATTTCCCGAAACAGTTTAGGTCTGCATCAGAAGGCAAGACATTCTGGAAAGATGGATGGGGAGAGAAAAAAACGGGGACTCCCTGGACATCAAGGTTAGGTTGGTGGAAATGGAAGGAAGGAGTGGAGACGTACCTGGGTCGGGTGGACGGGATGGAGTGGGGACTGCTACCTAGGAACATCTTCGCTTCTGGTTTCAGTCCGTTTGTTTTGTTTTGTTCAGGCTTAGGGTAGGGCTGGGGATTGGGGGTTGTTGGCGATGGGATCGGAAATGAAAATGTCACGATGCTATTTCCCGAGTCAATGCCTGGCGTCTGATACCTCATCGTGCACTGCAGATGTAATGTCCGAGCGGCAGTCTTTTGTTTGGGACATGGTATCTCAGCATCTGCCGTGCCTTCTTGAGCTTTGGATCTGGCTCAACTCAGCAGAAACTGCGTGTGTGTTTGGCCATCAACTCGGTCTGGTAAATTGATACTCAGGTCGTGGACAATGTTCCACGGTTGACCTGCCTCTGTTCATCTGACCGTGCTTGGCTTGTGTTCCCTGTCAAATGCTGTGGGATGAACTCGTAGTTTTGCTGCCCCTGGCGTCGTCTGAAAGTGCTCAAGTACGCTGCAGACACTGCAGACTCGAGATAACCCACCGATCCGATCTTGCGTGGGACAGACATGGACACAGAAGCTGTGAAGCAAGCCAATCCAGTCGCCCGAGTTCCTCACGTTCTCTTCGTGTCGGCCATCGAAATATCAATATCCGGACATGTTACCACTTCAGGTTGATTCATCCAGACAACGTCCACGTGTTTCTCGTCGTGTTGGAATTCCGTGACTAACCGACGGATTGGATCGACCACTTCCAGGGAATTCCATGTTTTGATAAGGAGATATGGAGAGATAACAACTACCGTAGTAGAATGTGAATGGCGGACAGAAAAGAGAAAGAAACGGTGATCAGGGCGACGTGGAACGCAGTGACGTTCGTGAACGGAGCCTCATCAACGCGCTAATTGGCCCGAGTGATAGCAGGAGTGGAGACGTCGACCCACCGTGCCCCTGCGCCACCGCTTGTCGGCTGTGGAACCCCCCTGTCACTGAACCCCCACTGCCGCTCACGCCGCTGCAGTGCAGTGCCGATGGCGCGCCTGCCATCTCGAGAATTCAGGGCGTCGTGCGCTATGTACAGCGGCAACCCGTGCAGATCGACATCGCTCCTTCCTTCTTCCCACAGAAGGAACGTGCCAGTGCCGAGCCATTGTCTTCGAGGTTCGCTGTTGCTTTTGTTTGGCTTTTGGGGAAATTGGGGAACGAAATTATTTCCAAGATGCAAGTTTTTTCTCGTCTTCAACCACAGACATGGAATCTCTTCCAGCTGAGGGCACATGCAGCAGACGCGCCATCAGGTCAGTGACAGCCGTGCCGCACAGCGTCGTTCGTATATCCATCCCACTGCAACATGTTTGGACCCGACACGACACCGCCAACCGTCAACTGCACATCTTTTTCTCTCCTATCCTGATGCTTCCGCGCAAGCCACGCAAATCCACGGATGATCAGTTGACTTGCCCTGGAAACGCTGTCACTGCCAACATCCAACCTCTCGTCAATCCCTCCACGAGCCATCCTCCAAGGCATTGGCTGCTGATCCCACGAGCCCGGCACTTTCTGTCTGTCGATTCGACTTGTCGTCTCCTTGCTTTCCAAGTGTTTCTCGAGATCAACGCGACAGCATCATCTACCGATCACTTTGAGTTATTCTTGCCCAAGAGGTTGTGTTCATTGAGTCGCTGACATGTGCTAACATCGCCAAGAACATCAAGCTTTCCCTGTCCCGATTGCCTTCCCGCGGCCCCGTTGCCCCCGAACAAACGACGCCCCTGGTCGCCCAACGGCTATCTCCGTTTACCAAAGAAAATAACACCAATTTCCGTTTCCCAGCGCATCCGACCAACAACCAAAAGTCACACCGAAGGAGTCCAGGCCCGCGCACCCTTCCCAAGTCATCAATCGGCCTATCCGCCTACCGTCACACGCTTCCAAGGTCACCTTGCTTGTGTCTTGTTACCTCCGAACAGTCTGGCGACCATGAGCATTGCACTCGGTGCCCGTCCCTCCATCTTCAAAACGGAGATAGCTATGGTAAACTCTTCGTGCTATTATTGGAATACCACACTGCAATTCCCTGATACGGGGTTGCTACCCAGGCCAAGGAAGCCCCTGGATCGACACGCAGATCACCATCAATAATACCGCACAGTGGAGGACCCTCTGTTTCAAATTGTTATGATTGCCCTCCGTTACAAGGCGTTCCAGAGGACGTCGCCTCCCGTTCCTAGACTCCGTTTCAGTCAAGCGGAGAATTCACAAAGACAAGATCACGAATAAGGCGCTGGAGGTATAAAAGGAGGACGACCCCTTTTTATCATCCATGCCAAATCCCAGTGCAGCTGACGCATGTTATACCCTTCAACTGTGGTTCCTTTCAATAACATCATATCCAACGAAACTTATCGCACCTGTCGCTGGCGATACAATCGTTTTCGGACAAAATGCACTTTAATGAAGAATCGGCAGCTCTCACGTCCTCGCCGGCATGGTGGTCGACGGACTACCTACAAGTCACAGGCTCATCTCCGAATCACACACAAACTCGAGAGCTCCCGGGATAGCGGCATATCCAACACCATTGTGCAGCCAAGCCACTGAGATGACTGTTTCGGACGTGGATCTTGATGTCTGCTCCCGTCGGCGTCCAGCGCTTGTCAAACGACGGAAGTCATGTATGTCTCGGGTACCTGCATGGTTTATTCTGGCTGATGGGAGATTTTCACGTCCATTCCGCGACTTGGAGGTGTTCTGAAGTGTCTTCAATGCGCATCGTCAAAGTCATGGCAAATGCCGTGATAAGTAATCAACACCAGCGAGCAAGTGCTCGTTTTGCGCTGGCCACTTCGATTCCTTTACTAACTCCGAAATATGCACCTCTATCCAAGAGTCTACAACCTGCCCCTTGTGCCATACATGCACATGTCGTTGGATCTCCATCACACCTACAAGTGAAGATCCAACCCAGGCCTAACATCCAGGAAAACAACCCTTGTCTCCGCGTCGTTATCATCGCCAGGGCGGTGCACCACGAATTCCCACCCGGAGCTGTTCACATGGGCCGCTTTTCCACTCCGGCTGATCAAGTCCAAGAAGCTATTCAGCGTCATCTTGGCCGCTTCTGACTCGTTGATGTCGAGAGTCCATTGCAGTGTTTTTACCCATGGTCTACCGCCCATCTCAATGTAGTCGTTGCGTCGTACGGCAGCGCAACTGTTATAATTGGCAGTGTTGAACCCGGAGCAGGAATGGCAAGGGATCATCCTCGGCTTCTCTCTTGGTGTCTGCGGTGAATCTGGCATTGCCTCCTGGCTCTTGAGTAAGTCGATGGGTTTGATAAGCTTGCATTTCTTGTTTGGAGGTTGAGCATGGTCCCGACCCAACCTGCAGTCGTCATCATCATCTTCTCGAGATCGTTTCCTCCCGGCCTGGCCTGCCGTCACAGCCCCAAACATGATGCTGCGTGTAGCTCCAGTTCCACCACCATCACTCTGTCGAGTTCGACCTTCGTTTTCCTCTTCTCGGCTCCCCTTTTCCGCAAAGGCATTCCTGATTTCCTCTTCCAATTGGGCCAAACTCTCCAACTCCAGCATAACAGCCTGATGATTTTCATCGTTCCCCATTCCCACCTCTATATCCGAATTTTTCAGGCATTTCGCATGGGATTTCTCGACAAGCGAATCCACCTGCGCTAGGTCCCATATACCCGAGCCTTCATACTGGTTCCATAATCGACGAGCCTGCCAGGTAGAGATGCCGATCGCGTCGTGTAGGATATTTATAGCGTTGTCCAGTGGGTTTGGAGACGGAAGGGAAATAATGGATCTCGTTGAAGGAGGCTTGAGGCAGAAGTAAGACATTTTGATGCCGGCACCATTCCCGGTACGATTGTGGGCCTCGCCCTGCGGGATCAGGGCAGGACATGGAGGGAGCGGGGAGGAGTAGCGGCTTGGACCGGTTGGGTCTTGCTGTTGGTGGCTAGGCTTCGAAGAGGCGGCATTGGCGATGGACGGGAAGTACAGAGAAAAGGGCATTGTAGGGGAAACATCGGAGCCGGAGGGATATGCTGTGGACAATGTTGGCGTGCTCCTGGTGTTGACAATATCTGAAAGGCGCCTCAGCACCAAGAGGGTCTGGACATCTTCGGGCAGTTCGGAAGGGGATGACTGTGCTGAGGGCATGGGCTTCGTGTGAGTGTCTTCTCCCCGTTGAACCCTTTCTTCTCTTTCGTCCTCTTCATCCTGGCCCTGACCGTAATCTTCTACACGTGTGCTCCTCACTTGCTCGGTCTCAACACCACCCAAAAGCTTTTCAAGGGCTTCATCCAATTCTTTCCCGAAGTCAGACCCACCGCCCAACAACACCTTCAACAACCTCATCGTCTCGCTTATCCCCCGCCGAATCAGTAACCCCCGAACTACCACTTGCTCCCGGAAGCAAGGCTGGCAGTAGACCGTCCCGCGGGCTGGCGGCCAAGGTGAGTAACGACCATGACATAGGGGGTAGAAAGCAGTTTTGATATTGGAAAGAGGTCGGGATGGGGTCTGGACCTGCGGCGTTTCCCCTTCTAGATTCACGGGTGGTATGGAATCTTGTCCTTTCGGCTCGAATATCAGCTCGGGCTTCGGGTCGTCGTTGCTAGTCTTCATGCTGGAGACGGAGTGGTCTAAGCCTGAGATGGGTTCGGACTCAAACTCGGAAGATTCCGAGTCGGCCGATGGTTTGTGTGTGCCATCAATGGCGAGTGTCCCAATTCTTCTTCTTCCCGTCTTCCTGCTTGCTGGCTGCTTTTCTGGTTTCACACTTTCTCTCGTTTCCTCGCTTGCTTCAACTGGACTCCCACAATCCAAGTCCTCCCTCGTGCCAGTCACAGGTCCAAATCCTGGGGAATTCCGGTTCACATTAGGCTGGTCTTTCTTCTTCTTCATCCCCTTCTTCCTCTTCTTGTTCTTGACGTCCAACTCAGAGGAGGAGTACTCAGAACTGTACCATTCATCGCTGTACTCGTCACTAGTGGTGTCCGATGGGCGGAAGGATTGGTCGCTGGTGTGTCGTCTGAGGATTCGGGGCCGTTTTCGCTTTTTGGTCATTGCGGAGGCGGATTTTGTTTCTTTTAGCATCAGTCTTATGACCTCGTGCTGCAGGTCGCTAACCGTCTGCAGGGTCTTGGGTGCTTTTGGCTGGGGATTTTTCCGTTTCTTTCTGTCTTTGCCCTCTTCCGAAGAGCTCCAACTGGAATCAGTATTGTTGCTGTCATCGTCCGTTGAGGTTGTCCCTGGCTTGTAGGAGGGATCATAGATGCGGGGAGGCTTGTGGCGGTTCCTCTGCTTGATCTTCCGCCTGCCGAACTTGGGAGGAAGGCATGGGCGTGCCTGGCATGGAAGGAGTTTCTCCTGGGGAATCACGTCGTTTTTGGGATTGTCGTCGAGGTGGGCATTGTCATCATTCTTGTCCTTCGGACCATCACCGCGCTCTCGCACGCGAACTTTTTTCCTTCTTTGTCTGCTCCCGCCATCGGTAGAGGTATACTCGTCACTGTACTCATCACTGTCGTCTTCTTCGTCTCTCGGTGGCTTATAAGACGGATCCCAAACGGACTTACCCTTTTTATTTATGGGCTTTTGCATTTCGTCACCATTCCCTTTTGTCAACATATCCCTCTTATCTTTCTCCGGTGATTTCTCCCGCTGTCTTTCCGCTACTCTGCCCCCCCTCTTCTTGACCTTCTTATTATTCTTGCCTAGTTTGAGTCTTTTCAGCGCTTCTACCCCTTCGTCAGACCCGTCATCTTCCTCATCGTCGTCGTCGAAACTGGATTCCTCGCTGTTCCTCGAAGGTCGATACGTTGGATCTTCTATGCGTTTGCGCTTGAGCGGGTTTGGGATCGGTGGCGGCGGTGGTGGTCGTGTTGGTCGTTGTGGTGACACACAGGTGAGACTAGAGGTAGTAACGGGTGAGAACTGTTCCTGCCCCTTGACTTGACCGAAGGCGGGGAGATCACCCGGCACGAAGTCCCAGTCTGAATCCTCCTCGGACTCGGAAGAAGACCATTTGTCCGGGCGATACGAGGGATCTTGTTTCACTGCTTTAGGTCGTTGTTTGTTCGCGGGCTTGCTTGCTCTGCCTGCTGGCTTCTTTACAACGGCGAATACGTTCAGCGTTGGTTTGCGAGGCCGAGCGTCTTCCGCTTTATCATCCACGACTAGCAGTTTCCGTACTCTGGCTTTGAGGTTTGTCCGGTCAAACCGCTCGTCTTTGCGAATTTGGGCCACCGCTACTTCGTCCTGAACTTGGGGCGCTTTAGCAGGCAACGTGGTCGTTGGCTTCGGTGGATCCGCCCAGAACCGTTTACCCGCTAGGAGTTGCTCCTTCCCTTTTCGTCGTCGCCGCCCTGTAGGGTTTGGAATTGGCGGTGGTGGAGGTGGAAGAGGCGGGACGCCATGGAAGAGGGAGGCAAAGTCAAGGCTGTTGGATGGCGACATTGCGTTGATGATGCTTTCAGGTATTCAGCTGCTTGTTTTGTTGCATGCTGACGTCCATGGGAGGTCAAAGCGACAAGTTGGCTTTATGCAAGATGGTAAAGGGTAAATGTCGTGAGGAAGTGGAAGTTTGGAACATGGAGGGAATGTGAGGGATTCGCAAAAACTTCCGCCCATCTTCCAAAGTGAGAACCCCGTCAGTTCGATGTCATTTTGTGTGAGTACATGGTACACTGGCGAGACTGGGTTCTTTGTCTACCTACGTGACCATTCTTTGAGGCCGATCACCACTGGTATAAAGGTAAATGCTCCTAGAGCCATTTCGGCGTTTCGCTTTGTCCGGGTATCATATCTGAAGGGGGAAAATCTGTGGCTCAACTCGTCATCGCGGCAAACAAAGAATGCCACAGCCACTACCGGCTTCGAGGACCATGCAAAAGCGAAGCATGAAGTAGGGAGTTGGACACTCTCAGTCGCTCATGTCACCTATAGGTAGAGGTAGCCTTCTTTTTCCACAATTACGACTTATCAAGCAGAGAATGGCGTTAACCTCACGTCTGCAAGTCAACAAATCGCATTCGAGCCCCCATGCAATTTGCAATGTGACCTTGATGTGACAACCACATCTCAATCGAAGGTAGGAGTGAACGAACGGAGTGCACATTGAGAGAAAGTTCAGGGTGACACATCAAGTCATCCGGCTAACTAAGCTCTGGCCAAAATAGCATCTCACATAGAACGTCATCGCGTGACTGATGGCACAACAGACGGGAACACGGGAACTTGGACTAGTACGAGGGTAGAGGGTATCGAAACTTCCATTAAGTGCAAAAAGATCATGGAAACTACAAGCTAAAGATAGGGAATGCTCAATTGCTCCATCCCGTAGGAACTAACTCAAGAGTAAGGGGTAAACTCATATGAAACGCAAGAAGGAACGTCCAAAATGGCCAAAGCAGCCCGGAAGAAAAGGCTCATCGTACTGCATCCGTAGTCCACGCCGACAAGAAGTCATGCCTCTACTGCTGGCGCTTATGATCACCCACATCAGGCCTGTACACACCATCCTCGGCATACGCAGGCGGCAACTCGTCCGTCACGCCATCAGTCTGGGGAGGATGCGCCGGATGCCCAGGGTACCCAGGCACGGCTGGAGCTGTTGACGAAGACGACCCGAACTCCTCATACGAAGGCGGGGGCGGTTCGGAACCATGAGCATGGGCCGCCTCAGCAGCAGCTTCGGCGGCCTTTGCGCGTGCAGCATCCGACGCCTGTGGCCCGGGAGCGGGCGGCACCACACCGGCAGTTCCTGTTGATGGGCCAGCCGAGTTGATGTCGAGACCGCGAACACCGGAGGTTACGCCACTAACTTCAGCCGGGCCGCTTTCGGTGTATGCAGAGGCAGGAGGAGGAGGGGCGTGGTAAGCGTCAGTTGGGTGCTGGTTCAGTGGGGAGAAGTGGCCGCGGGCACCGCCGCCGTATCCTTGGCCCTGAGGTGGCTGCTCAGAGAGGAGCTGGGGGTTGTAGAGGTAGCCTCCTGTTCCTGCGGGCGCTGGAGCGGGACCACCGGCTGGGCCACCGGGAGGCTTGCCAGGAGCGCAATAGCCCTCGGGAGACGGCTCAGACAGAAGCTGAGGTTGGTAGGGCTGCTGTCCCTGGCCTGGGTACGGCTGCTGAGGCTGCTGAGCAGGAGTAGGCTGGACGTGATGCTGCGGGATGTGTCCCTGGGGCATGTGTACCGTCTGCTGCTGCTGGCCCTGCTGGCCCTGCTGGCCCTGCTGGCCCTGCTGGCCCTGCTGACCCCTCCACCCCTCAGCACCCTTCAGAACCTCAAGAAGACCGTTGACTACGGGAGGAGCGGCCACCTCGCCCTTGAGGATCTGCTGAACGGTGACTTGTCTACCGTAGAATACGGCGTTGGCGTCCTTGCGCTCGGTGATGACAGTACCGTCCACTTGCACGCCGGCGTAAAAGCCGCGTGACTTGACGTAGCTGTAGACGGGCTTCTTGACGGCCTCGACGAAGGGGCTGGGCTTGCGGTTCTTGTTGGCTTGCTTGCCGGCCTCCTCTGGGTGGTCCGGGTCGAAGTCGGGATCAACAGGCGGGTTGGTGAACTGGGTGTTATCCGAGGAAAGGATGGGCTTGCCATCGGCCGTTGTTGGCCTCGACGAAGGCTTACCATCCTTACCCTTGCCCTTATCCGTCTTCTGCCCCTGTGGCACGCCCCAATCCAAAGCACCACCGGCGCCCCATGGCCCTGCGGTAACAGCCAGGTCGCTACCCAGGCTGAGACGGGTGCGGGTGAAAGCCTCGAGGGCCTCCTTGGAGTTGATGACGACCACGCAGTCGTAGATGTCGAGACCGACGACGAAGCCGGCGCCGATGCTGTGGACGTGGATGCCGGACGGAGGGGACCAGCTGCCGTCGGGGAGGCGAGCGATCAGGACGCCGGAGCCGCTGGCGCCCGTGACTTGGAAGCCGGCGCGGACGGTGGTGAAGATAGCCAAGCCCTGGGCCTTGGCGATGACCTTGGAAGGAATGGTGAGGAGAACACGCGACTTTTTCTTGGCGGTGGCTGCGTCAACGGGTTTTGTTTCGACGGGGGGCTTGGAGGCGGTTTCGGCGGCGGTAGGCTCGACTTTGTTGGCGACGGGGAAGGTGGTTTGAGGAGGGGCGGTGGTGGGAGCTGCGTCGCTGTAGATTCCGTCCTCTGCAAGTGATATGGTTAGCCGTTGATGATTGTAGGAAGTGTAGAGGAAGGTTGACATACTGCAGAAGCTCCTCAAGATACGGGCGGCCTTCTCGACCTCCTTATCCATTGGGCCTGGCAAGAAAGCCTCGGAGCCCATCTTGTTGGCTAGGGCGTTGATGGGAGCGGCGGCCTTGGTTCCCCATCCTGCGAGCTTCTGACCCCAGGAGAGCTTGACCTTTTCGTCTCCAGCCTTGCCAGACGAGGTAGGTCTAGGAGGGAACGGAGGCGGGTGTTCGTCGGTCGGGGTAACGCCGTAGATGTCTTCCTTGTTGGAATTCGGGGGAGGCGCATATTGGGGATGCGATGAGTTGTAGTCGGGAATGGGAATCTCGTCGGGATGGCGAGGTTGTTGGCTCTGAGGGGGAGCTTGTTGAGTTGCAATAGAGGAAGAGGGAGCTTGGCCGGGAGGAGGGCCGGGAGGAGGAGGGGGGAAGTACTGCGCTTCCAGCTTTCGTTTCTCGTCGTTTGCGCTCATCGTTATGTCGGTCGCGGTAGGTTCGAGTATAGGTCTACGGAAACGGGAACGTAATCGATGTCAAAGGAGGTGATATGGTGATGTTGTTATATCGTCGGTCGAGGATCAGTCGATGTTGTCAACGGCAGTTGTTGCGGGGTGTGTGTGACTGCGATAATGGAAGGAATACAGAAGGGGGCTTAGACGCTGTTGTCCACTGGAATTGTGGAATGGTTCAACACGGTTCAAACAAACAACACTCAAACTTGGTTGGATTTCCTGTTTGTTTTTATCTGAAACTGGATTACTCGAATTCGTAAGCTGTTGTGGCTTTGTCCTCGTCTTGACCGGTCTTTGCTATGCTTCTGTTGTTCTCGTGATGCCCGGATTCTGTTGCTGTCCATCAGGGTCCATGGCCATGATGTTGGCCGGGCTTGTTGTGGCGATAATTGTTAGTGCACAGCTCCCCGCTCTTATCAGACGACAGACGAACGCGTGGAGGTTGATGTCATTTCTGTGGCTGAGCAGTGGCTGCCTCCCTTTGTCATCCACAAACGGGGCTTGGCACAATGCCAGTCTTGGCCCGACCACAATTGCCTGCCGGTACTTTTCCTGGGTGGGTGTGACCTTCAATCCTCTCTTCATCGCGTTCAACCATCACATCTCATCTTCAACTCGACAAGTCAACGGCCGCAGCTGTGTGATATTCTCATCCACATCATGATTCAACACGAATCTTCGAAAATGACGACTATCGAGCAAAGTATTGACTCCCTAGAGGGGCCTCCACAAAGTGGCCACTGGATGTGAAGAGACAAAGAAAGACTGTATCAGTCGACTATTTTGCACATTCGATGGAAGCAACAGACCAGATGAAAGAACTCGTGAACGCCGTCGCCAAAGCTGGACACGGGGATCGCGGAGCCGAGTCTTCCTCACAGTCCACCTCACAGTCTTCTCATCCATGGACTTCAACCTTGAGCCGGACACTCAACCACAATTACTTCCTCGATCAAGTCAACATATGATGGCCGTTTCAATCCAGATGTGACCTCAATGGACGATACCCCGGCCTCATAGGTGGAATATTGACTCTCTCCGCGTGCTTTCCCCGCACATCTCCAGAGTACCATCCCGGCATCTATATCACGGTATAGTTGCCATCATATAGGGCCGCTTTCAGTTTTCCAGGTAGGTATAAACAGCGAAAAATCCCAGGCATGTTGACGGATGTTCAGTTGGCAATGGAACGCCATCACTGCTCAACATGAGGCTCATCACTATTCTCGCTGGCCTCGTCGGCTCCTCTCTCGCCGCCCCAACCAACCAACCCCACGGCGATGCTCTCGCCACTCGCGCCCCATGGCCCAACGGCCCCCTTGTAACCTCCGGACGCTGGATCCGCGATGCCTCCGGCACCAACCTGACCTATGCCGGTGTCAACTGGCCTGGGGCAGCCGACGTCATGATCCCCGAGGGTCTGCAGTACCAATCCATCGCAACCATCGCGTCCAAGATCAAGAGTCTCGGCATGAACGCCATCCGTTTGACCTTCGCCATCCAAATGGTCGACGAGATTTACTCCAACGGAGGGAAGGATATTACCCTACAAAAGGCCTTCACCCAGGCCCTCGGGTCGACAAACGGCCCCAAGGTGCTCAACCAGCTCCTGGCCAAGAACCCCCAGTTCACGGCGAGTACTACCAGGCTGCAGGTCTTCGATGCGGTGGCGGCTGAGTGCGCGAAGCAGCAGATCTTTGTCCATCTGGATAACCATATCTCCAAGGGCACGTGGTGCTGCTCGACTGACGATGGAAACAGTTGGTGGGGAGACACGTACTTTTCGGCGGCCAACTGGACGAGAGGTCTTGCGTATATGGCTAGCCATGTATGTCTGCCATGACCCCCTTTCCCTTCAATCTTAACTCCCATTGACACCATTTTGACATGCAGGGCAAGCAATGGACATCACTCATGTCCATCGGCCTCCGAAACGAACCGCGCGAGCCCACTTCAGGCGCGGCCAAATCAACCTACAACTGGCAAACCTGGTATACGTACATGAGACAAGGCGCCGAAGCCGTGCACTCCTCGAACCCGGACCTTCTCATCTTTTTGTCTGGCCTGTCCTTCGACACCTTCCTGACGCCCGTCGTCCGCGGCACCGCCTTGACCCCGGGAACCGGCAAGTTCAGCTTCAACGACTTCCCCGGCTATGCCAACAAACTCGTCCTTGAACTGCACAACTACGAGAACAGCGCCACCAACTGCAACAACCTGCAGAACAACTTGTACAACAATGGCTTTCAGGCGTTGACGAGTTCTGCAGTCAATCAGTTCCCGGTGGTAATGACTGAGTTTGGGTTCCAGATGGATGCGAGCACGTGGAAGGGAACGTATGCTAGCTGTTTGGCAAGCTATTTGCCCGCCCAAAAGGCTGGCTGGTTTATCTGGGTGCTGGCGGGCTCATATTACATCCGGTCTGGGACGCAGGATCACGACGAGGGATGGGGGCTGTTGACCCACGATTGGAGCGCATGGAGGAGTCCGAGTTATGTCAACGGGGCGTTGATTCCCATGGTCAAGAACACCCTCAGCTAGAGGCTCAGCTAAGCAGCAAATACACTCTGTCCCAGCCATCTCTCCGAGCTCACGCCTCCACCTTTTCCTCCTTGCCCTCCTCCTCAGCCTTACAAGGCTCCTCCTCCACGTATACATCCCAATCATACTTCCTCCCCACATGATCTTCCCTCAACTGCCTCTGTCCCCTTCCATACACCTTCTCTCTCGCCGTCCATGCCTCCGCTTCCTCAGGCTCCTGCTCCGCATAAAGGCCTCGTCTCCTCAACTCCGGCACCAACAACTCCACCACCTCTTCAAACGTTCCCGGAGTCGTCACATACGCAACATTGAACCCATCTATATCCGCCTCGCGAATCCACCGCTCCATCTCATCCGCCACCTGTTCCGCAGTCCCCACTGCCACCGGTCCCAGCCCGCCGATGGCCGCGCGCTCGGCTACCACGTGGGGTGTCCATTTGGGCACTTCTTCCGAGGGCGTGGTGAAGTTATCCAGAATCGACAAAATCTTGTTCTTCTCCTTCGAATCCGACGCCGAAATCTCCTGATCCAGATCCTTAAACTGGCTGATATCAATCCCCGTCCATCCAGCGAAGAGGACCAGTCCGCCGATGACGCTGGCGTTCTTGCGGGCTTCTTCGTACTTCTGCTGCGCTTCCTCTTCCGTGCGACCAACAATGGGAGTGAACGTTGCGAAGACCTTCAAACTAGCTGGATCGCGACCCTTCTCCTTCGCCAACTCCCTCAACTTCTTCACTTTCGGGGCTAAGACCGAGGGAGAATGGGAAGATACGAAGACTGCCTCTGCGTGGGTTGTGGCGAACTCGGATCCTGCTGAGGAGGTGCCGGCTTGGAAGAGGAAGGGGGTGCGTTGCGGGGAGGGGGGCACGATGTGCGGGGTGGAGAGCTGGAAGTATTTGCCGGAGTGGTTTATTTGGCGGACTTGGGAGGGGTCGGTGTAGGTGTCTAAGGACGGGTTGAGTTGGATGGCGGAGGGGGTCCAGGATGCGTTCCAGAGTCTGGGTTTGGCCACAAGTGTCAGTCAAAGCCTCCAGGAAAGACTGGGGGAAGGAAGGAGACAGAAAGGAGAAGGTCAAAAGGGAAGGAATGACAAAGGAGAGACCGGGATAGGTGTTTTGTCCTAAAAGAGAAGGAGAAGAGGGCAGAGAAAGGGTGTAACGTACTTGTACAACACCCTCAAGTACTCGTCAGCCTGCTCATATCTCTGGTCATGCTCTATCGGGTTTTCAAGACCAATTGCCTTGAAAGCGCTCTTCTTCCAGCTCGTCACGATGTTCCAACCGATTCGGCCTTTGGTCAAATGATCAAGCGTCGAAAACCGCTTCGCCAGCAAGAAGGGAGGCTCGAACGAGGTGGAAGCCGTGATGCCGAAAGCGAGATTCTTGGTTACGGCGGCCATTGCTGAGATGGGCTGTTCAGGACTGCTGTTAGCGGTGTCTCCTTCTCTAGGAAATCCCATGCTGCAATACCAGCGTTCATTATGGCCACCATGAAAAAAAGAGAAGAAAAAGAGGAAAAAAAATGGTAGTTGGTCAATGATACCCAAAGGTATCCCCTCGTCGGTCACAGCTCGACCTCGTTAGCCCAGGTAGACTAATGTTGCAGTCATATAGACTACAGGCGTGCCTGAGCGATAGTTGTGTCGAAAGCTGCCACCACGGGATTCGAACCCGTGGCCTTTTGAGCAGGAATAAGTATGGGTGTACTGGACGTAGCACCAACTGCCGCTCGACCAACTACCCGCTGTTGTTGGGAATCTACTTGGGACGGGAGCCTATCAGGGACGGAGGGTGCTGGTGCAGTGTGGTGCCTTGGGGGCTCCATTGGGTGCCCTTGACCAGACGCTGTCATCCGATGTTGGCAGAAATTTCGCCATCCTTCCCGTGATTTTATCACGTCTATCCTTCACCCTTTCCCTCTCCCTAACCCCCTTCTTCTCATTGATCTTCCACTTTCCACCAATGAACTCGACTTGAGAAAGAAACCACTTACAATAACAGGATCTCCCACCGGCCACTGCGCTCCCCTCCTCACACATTCATCCAAGCTGCCTTCGTACGTATCATATCCGCCATACGTATCCGCCAAGAAAAGCGCGTTGATGCCTCCCTTCTCCAAGAGTTTCGCCAGGTTGATCCAGTAGTCAAGCGACTCAAACTTGGTGGTGGAGCGGTCCGATGGGTTCTTCCATTGCCCTGGCGACAGATGGCCGGGGGTGAACATGTCGAAGGCGTTGAGGAGGATTTGTTTCTTTGGGGGTTGCGTGTCGCCATTGGCCGTGGGGTTTTCGTGAGTGTCTGCCATGTTGAGTGGTTGTGAGGGGACTGTGAGTGGTTCGTGGTGATCACAAAGCGTGAAAGTTCGAAGTTCAGGATGATGTTGACACTCAACTTCAACAGCAGTTGTCGTATCGTTGATGGCTCAGCTCTTTGAAGGGTTCATACCCCTCATATACCAGGCCGAACCCTTGCTCAGGCTCTTATCACCGCGATGTCACAACGGGATGTCGACATTGCGGCACCAATCCCTCGGATCACAGTCCCGTGCGGGGGTGCATGTTGTCATCAAGGGGTGGATGGCGCCATGCAGATGGTACCATTGCATCAGAAACACCATTCCCGGACGCGAAGCTCGCCATGTCACCGGTCATGGCCAAGACCGCTCACCTATGGATCTCTCGCTTCGTGTCATGGGCAGAGATTGATGTCCCTGGTGAAAATTGGTCGAGGCAGCACTCATCACAAAAGCATGAACGAGTGACGAGCACGGCTTGGAAGGTGCTTTCACTCTCTCGTATCACGGTGGACGGAAACACCCTGCTTCTCCCCGAAGTTTGTGCTGATTGATGAATGGGAAGTACAGCATCGTCACACAAGGACTGGGCTCGACGAGCTTCACAGGTTGCTGATCGAGTCAACTATCACCTCGTCGGATTATGGTCCGGACACAGTGAACCTTCACACAGACGGGAGTTTTTATGAGGCTCGCGATCGTGCTTCTGCTGATTCACCGACAGTCAAATCGCCAAACTCTCCGGATTATGTTCTATCTACAGTGCAGGCCACCTCTACAAGGCTGCGGCTCCTCTAGCGTGTCCTAACCACTCTTCTCCGGAGTCACGTTCACCTCCTCCTGTCCCTTCTCCGAATTGGATGCCGCCGTAGATCCGGTCTCCGCATTCTGCTCGGCATCAACCGGTTTACTATCAGAAACTGTTAGCCTGGCTCTCACAACTTGCTCTGGGGACACAACTTACTTGGACCTCTTCAAAGCAACATTCAAAAACTGAGCCGTAATGATCAAGCAAACGGCATTCGCCAAGACAAACGAGTATCCCTTCTTGAACTGGGGTGCCTCCTTGGTTGGGAACGTCAAAAGCTGCGTCCAAGCGGTCGTGCTCTGCGCCACCGTGTTCAGCAACACGATGGCAAACGACCTTTCTGCTGATGACTTCCCCATGACGGCATTAACCCAACCGTACAAAACCGCGGACATGGCCACGGACGAGTACGTCGTCATGAACGCGAACCAGAGCGCCGACTCGGGGACGTTCCAGATGACCAGGATGATGAGACCGATGATGTTCCAGATATGGGCAATCGTAATCGCCCACGCCGGTCCGACCACCAGATCCGAGATGAAGCAGATGAAGAGGACATAGAAGATGCCAATCGCCGGACTTATGGTTCCTAACTCGTTGACCTTGGACTGGCTGTAACGTCCCAGACTCTTCAACCAGAGCAAGTACCCTCCAGCCGAGTAGTTGATGCTCCCATTCCAGAAGAAGATATCCAGCAACATCAGCGCCCAAAACTTCCAATTGTTTGCCAGACTCTTCAGTGTCGACAGCTTGAACTTGGGGTGGACGACGGAATGTCCCACCCTCGCCAACCTCTCCTTTGCAATCTGCACATCCTCGTTCTTCAGGAACCACTTGTTCGGATGCTCCGGCGTGCCAGGCAAGATGAAGTAGCCAAGAATGCCAATAGGAATGGTAATCACCGCGCAAATGATATACATCCACCGCCACCCAGCCAGACCATTCACTCCCTCCAACCTCGCACTCGCCCCAGACTGAATCAGACCAGCTGTCAGCGTCCCGAGCGTCAATCCCGAGTAGAAAACCCCTCCACGTCTGCTAATCTCATCACCACGGTACCAGCTCCCAAAGATGTAATGCATAGCCGGGTAAAACGCAGCCTCAAACCAGCCGATCAGAAACCGGTAGGCGGCCATCTGGGCGAAGGAGTTGGCGCGGTATTGGGCCAGAGTGAAGAAACCCCAGGCAATGTCGAGGAAGGGAATCGTCCAGTGTATGGGCAGGTAGGTGAAGAGGAACATGAAGGGGATTTGGCCGACGACGGCGCCGACGGTGTAGAGCGTTTGCAGCTGGACGAGCTCGTTGCCGTGGAAACTGAGGTCTTCTTTGAGGCCGGCTACGTAGGCGTTGTCTGTGGAAGCGAGGAGCGGTGTCAGCTGGACTCCCTGTCCTTGGTGGGCTGGAAAGAAGAGAAAGAAGGAAGGACGCACTGAGGTTGGCCTGGTCAATGTACTTGATCCAGTAGGCAAGGAAGGCGTAGGGGACGATGAGCAGGTCGAGCTTCATGATGAGACGCCGCTCGCGAGGAGTGTCGCTGTCGGCGAACCATTTGATGTGGTACCATTTTCGTTTGACGGTGTCGAATTGGTGGTGGACCGCCATTGTGTTTGGTCAAGCTGTGCCCCTTCCGAACTCTGATGTCGAAGTAGGACGGACGGCAAGAGCGACTTGTCACCTTCAAAAGCAGAACGAGCGGGCACAAGGACATCAACAGGAAGGCTGGATGTGGTTCTCTTTAAACATACAAAAGAGTGTTACATCAATACCTGTCTACCACCCACGGATATGGTCTAGACGACACGCCAAGTCTTCCCGCCACGCAGGTTGATAACACCATAGCGTTGGGTGTGCACCGACGGGACGGACGACCCTGGAATCCTGGGATTGACTGATGGTGTGCAGCCTCGACCTGAAACTGCCGTACGCCCAGCCCGACGAACTGAATTGTGCAAAGAACCAAGTAATTGCGGCATTGAAAGAGCTGGTTACGAGACATTGTCGTCCTCAATCCAGATCAGGGCCAGCCACGTGAATTCCGTCGAGCTGGGACTTTGCTAGCCCTACAGAGACGTACCTCCGAAGGCACTCGCAAAACCTCGTGTTGCGATATCACCATCTTCTTCAGATCAACTACCATGTTCGCTTAAACCGTCACATACCCGAACTGCTCGTCGCCGCTCGAGTGTCTCGCCAAAAGCCAAGAAGCGAAGAGGCAGAGACAGCAAAGTGCCGGATTTGCAAGTTCAGGCGTGGGATGTCGCAAGCGCTAATCACCATCACGGACACTATCCTGCTTGGAGGAAGGAGCACTATCACATACAGCACTGGATAGGTGATAGGGTAGTACCCGTGGGTGTGAGCCTGGCTTATGTAAAGGAGGCTGGCCAGACTACACCCACTCTCTGCAAGAGAGTGGGTGTAGTCTGGCCAGCCTCCTTTATATAAGCCAGCCTCATACGCACGGGTACCGTTCCCAAACTCCATTCGAGAGTGGCTGAAGGAACAATCGTTGTCTGTTGACAGGGACGTTCCAGCCCCTGGAAGAAGAGTGGGGTGGGGGTCCGGGTTAGGGTTGACTGAAGCTTCCTTCCGGCTTTCTCTCCCTCACACTTGCCATGGACACTCGCCTTTGTTATCACCATCTTGACGGTTATCGCAATGCACCTCACTCGTAACTGCGAAAGCAATACCCAATAATGGTTCCGCCAATTTTCTAGTCTTTTCTCATCAAAGGCTTAGAGAAATCCGCTAACAAATGACACCTTAGCCAGCAACATCAATCAGGATAAGCCAAGTGGGTCCCCCATCCCTTCGCTAACAACAGTCCAGGGTACAAAAGATGGCGTCATCCAACCTCTATCTCACCTCAGACACGCGGCAGACGCGATCAGCATCCTTTCAGCCCTAGTTCAGCAACCAAAGCCACCACGACCACCGGTCTTCGGAGATCAATCAGTGGGGGTTACACGCACCCAGAAGCCCAGATTGACATGACCATCGACCCCGCGAATGGTGTTATGCTTGGAAGGCTTGACGTGCTTTTGGTGAACCTTCGGAATTGGGGGCGCACAACGGCAACTACAACCCGAGACGCGAATGAGACGGGAGATACGAGAAGGAGCAATACACCTCGGATACGGTACTACCAGACGCGGTGCATGGCGATAACGTGAAAGTGGGGGGGACTAGCCACGGAGCATTTTGGGACTAGCCAGCTAGCCTTTGCGTTGGCAAGAGGCCCGGGAGAGCCGGAGAGGGAAAGTGATGGCGACGAAGGAGTGTCGATAATGTGATGCCTTGTGGTGTGAGGGAGTGTTATGAGTGTCGTGTCTGCTCGAATCACTCACATATACTTGACTTATTGCGTTTGCGTGCTGTTTGCGCTTTGTTCGTTTGGATTACTGCTCGACTTTGCGGAGAAAGACGACGGAATCTTCGACATCCAGATTACTCACATTCACAATGGCAACAACAACAGAAGCGAACGTGAACGGTGAGGTCGTACCGGTAGTCGAAAAGCTGGGCGAACTCTCGGTGGCAGAACAAGAAGTCGTCACTTTCTCATCACCAAGCACAAGTGAGGCCAGCACTCCGGGCACACCAGAGACCTCAGTCAGCTCTCAACCTCAGTACAACTTCATCCCTTTTGAGCCACATCCGGGGTACCCCAAGTCTCGCATCAGCATTGTCAACAGGTTCATTGATCAACCACGAGAAGTCCGGGTTGCTGTGATCGGTGGTGGTCTTTCTGGCATTCTTGCTGGTGTTCTGCTTCCGGCCAAGGTCCCCAATATCAAGTTGACTATATATGAGAAGAACCATGACTTTGTGAGTAATTCCTTTACTTACCTTGAGCTCTTCTGCTTACACTGTACCAGGGAGGTACTTGGCTCGAAAATGTCTACCCCGGAGTGCGATGTGACATCCCTTCGCACGTCTACCAGTCAACCTTTGAGCCCAAGCTTGACTGGAGCGACCAATTCGCTGGCGGCGCCGAGATCCGTGACTACTGGCAAGGTGTAGCAAAGAAGTACAATGTCTACCAGTACGCACGCTTCCACACCAAAGTCGAAGGCCTGAACTGGAACGACTCCGAGTCCGTCTGGGAGGTAACCATCAAGAACCTTCAAACCGGCGAGACAACCACCGAAAAAGCCGACAGCGTCATCACTGCCATCGGTCGGTTCAACGCCTGGAAGCTTCCCGACTACCCCGGCATCGCTGACTACAAGGGCATCCTCCGACATGCCTCACACTGGGATTCATCCTTCGATCCATCCGGCAAGGCCGTAGCCGTCATCGGCAACGGCGCCAGCGGTATACAACTCGTCGCGAACCTCCAACCCTCCGTAGCGCGGCTGGACCACTACGCTCGAAACCCTACCTGGATTGCTGCCTCCTGGGCCGGCGACGTACGGCAAGCAGGACCCCAGCCCTACTCAGAGGAGCAGATCGCCCTGTTCAAGTCCGACCCAGACGCCTACCTGAAGTTCCGCAAGGATATGGAAGACAATTACTGGCGCCGCTTCAATGCCTTCTTCCGCGGCAGCAAAGATAGCACCGAGCTTCGCGAGCGCTTCACGCAAATCATGCACGAGCGGCTCGCCAAGAAGCCCGAGCTAATCGAGCACATCGCCCCCGACTTTTCTCCCAACTGCCGCCGCTTGACGCCCGGCCCCGGCTACCTCGAAGCCATCTCCGAGCCCAACGTGGAGTACATCCGCACACGCATCCGTCGCTTCACTGAAACCGGCATCGAAACCGAGGACGGCGTTGAGCGTAAGGTGGACGCCATCTTCTGCGCCACGGGCGCCAACGTCTCGCAGGTTATCCCCTTCCCCGTCGTTGCGAAGGGCAAGAACCTCCAGGATGCGTGGAATCCTGAGCTCAAAGGCAAGAGCGACGAGCACCACGGCTTTCCCTACACCTACCTCGGCGTGGCCACGCCCGGCTTTCCGAACCTGTTCTTCCTTCAGGGACCGCACGGTACGGGACCGAGCGGAACTGTCCCGCACAGCACTGAGACGCAGCTTACGCTGCTGGCGAAGATCCTACGGAAGGTGGGGAGGGAGGGCATCAAGAGCATTGTCCCTTCTAGAAAAGCAGCGGATGATTTCGTCGAGTACTCGGACGCATTCTTTTCCAGCACAGTCTTGACAGACAACTGCAGCTCTTGGTACAACGGCGGACGGCCGGGGGCGAGGATTCACGGTATTTGGCCCGGGTCAGCGGGGCATTTGACGGCGGTGAGGCAGAATCCCAGGTGGGAGGATTGGGAGTATGAGTATCTCGGGGAGACGGGAAATAGGTTTCAGTGGTACTTGGGTAATGGGTGGACGAGCAGGGAGGCGGATCCGCAGTCGGATATGACGCCGTACTTGAGGAGGCCGGGGGAGAAGGTGGAGTTGAGGGATGTGCATGAGAGTTGGTGGAATTTGCCATGATTGTCTCTACCGTAGTGGGAAAATGCGTTTTGTAACATGGCTTGTTTTCTAGACAAGCCATGTTTCTTTCAGGGGATAAGCGCTGTAATTTAGTGGATTTGTTTTTGGAGTTGGGTCGGGTCCGAAATTTGAAATTTCTCAAAGTCTCAAAGTCTCAAAGTCCTACCTTCCCCCAACCTCCAACATCCCCTTTATCAACGGAAAGAACCAGCCTTTTCCTTCAGAAACAACCAATTGGCTTAGTGGCCAAGCGGTTCTTGAAGTAGTTCTTCATTTCTTCGTACTCGTGACATGCTCCATTCGATTCCTGTTCGTGACCAATTTTTTGAAGCTATTCCGACAATGCCGACCTTCACCTTAGTAGTCCTTGAAAAGCCCACTAAAGTATAGAAGGTTATACCCTATACTTTTAACTTCTAGGGGCTTAGGAGACAATCCATGTTTGAAAAACAATTCTTGTTTTCTTTACAAGTATTGTCTCCTAGACAGGCCTTGTTACAACTCAGGGTCCCTTCTTTGTTGTGTTGCTTTTGGGAAAACAAGAAGCTTCAACTTTCTACGCGTCTGGAGAGGGGTACACTCCACGCACGCCCAAAAACTCCCCAGGTACGCCCTTCAAGTACACCCCCTTAAAACACTCAAGAAAAAGACTCCGTACTTCCATTTACATTGGCTTTTGTCTTCGATATACACTTTTCCGTCCATTCTCCAAGACGACATGACGTTATTCTAACTCATTTAGTCTTATTGAGGATGTGTAGAGGTACTAGATAGTACGCTTCATATTCGGTACATGTACTGTCGAAGCCAAGTATCAAGCCAAGAAACTGTTAGAGGCCAGGGGATCCACTGGGCGTGCACATGCCCAGTTGGGTTGGGATATACGGGATTTATCCAGATGCCAGAGCTTCGAGTCTGCAGAGCCAATCTTACACACATACACACAATCAAGCTACGTTAAACCTATATCGATTATTACCTATAATATTACAATTAAGAATTTTATTAATTTAACCGTTGAAACTATCGCCAATAATGACAACTGACTAAACGACTACCAATAATATCTATAATTAAAATTAATAGTATTATTCTCAATAGCCCTAAGTATTAGCCGGCCTAGGAAGATACTTTTATCTCTATAGCCTAAAACCTTAATCTCTAAAAGTATATCGATCCCAATAACTATATACTCTAGCTAACTAAGCCTATAAAGCCTAATATCGCCAACTATTAAGGAGAAGTCCCAATTAAAGAGATTAAGAAAATTAAAAGGATAAAGAATTTACCCTATTTACTACTACTAAATTTTACAACTCTTATTATAAGCGTGATTACTATAATTATATAATTGAAAAGTCGGATTGGCATGTAAAGGTTAAGACCTTTTCTAACTTAGGTACTAAGAAAATTATATTAAATTATTAAATATTTAAAATTATTAAAAATAATTACCGGGAGATTAATTTTATTAAATGTATTAATTTATATAAGTAGTATAATAATTTTAATAAATCTATTGCTTTTAACGACTGTAAAGTAAAAAAGTTCGCTCGGGCTAAATTTATTAATATTTTCAAACCCCCTAATAAAGCTAACCGTAATTAGTATAATTAGACCTTTTATTAGGAATTAACTATAGCTTTCTATATTATTAGAGGAATTATTAAAATAAATAATCTAAATTTATAGTTCCTAAAATTCTATATAATTATAAAATTAAGTCCTTATATTACCTACGTAAATAATTACTAATTTTAATATAATAAAGAGATTGAGAGAAACCTTAATTTTAAAATCTCTTTCCGTACTATAATTAAAAATTTTTATAAAGTAATAATAGCGAATATTACTTAAGGAAAAGGTTACGCCCCCTTATTTAAAAGTATTACGTTCGCAATTATATTAAATAGTAAACCTATTAAGGAAAATGTTCCTAGTAACGAATAAAACCCTAGCTCGGAAATAAAGGAACGGGGAAAGGTTATAAGTAAGAATAATAAATTTAGGAAAAATATTAATAAAAATAAGCGTACTTCTTCCTCGTCCCTACTAACGAATAAACGATTGTAACGATCCCCGTATAAACTCTATAAGTAACCGGGCTATAATTTAAATAAATATTACTATATTAAATTATAGTTAGTTTATAAACGCTAAGTCGAAAGTTTTATTATTAAAAAGCGCGCGTTCATTAATTTAAAAAAGGATAAAATATTTAAAGAGGCTGTTAATTATTTACGAACGTAGTAAGACGACGAAGATTAAAATAATTAATTCTATAAATGCCGGGTAGGTAAAAGTAATTTTTTAATACTTATAACGAAACGCGGCGTTATATACTTATTAAAAGATTCTATAATCTTTAATTTAAGTATAATAATATATATTTTTAATAAAATTAATCAGTTTAAAGACTTTACCCTATTAAATATTAGTAATTATATATAGGCTAGAAATAAGCGGATTCCTATCGAAGGGTATAATACTAGTATAATCATAATTTAAAACTATTACGCAAAGTGATGCTTCACAAGTAATGCTAACATAGAATGATAAAGTAAGCAACTAGTTATTGGATAGAACAATAATATGTAACGGTTAATAATAATCTTATTAAAGGAAATTAAATATAAGTACTATCGAAAGCCTTAACCTAGGACCTCGTATACGATTTTATAGAGTATAAGTAAAATAAACGTTAGGTTAATATAATATAAATTGATAATTTAATTAATTTTAACGAAGGTTAATAGGGAGAATATTCTTATATAATATATCCTACTCAATAAAATAATGTTACGTTCAATAGAGTATATATTAAAATAGAATAGAGTATTTAGGTACCTACCTAGAATATCCTATAATATCTCCCCTTTAATGAAAGGAAAAAAGTGTTTATTATCTACTAAAATTATTATTAAGTATAAAATAGAAAATGAGAATTATCGCTTTCCTTACTATTAATAAATTATCCTTTTTATATCCTATATAACATTTAATTACCGATAACTATTTCTAATAATTAAAATATTCTAATATAAAAACCGAAAGATAGTAAGTAAATAGCGTAAATAGTAAGGACGGTGGAAATCCTTAGTAATAATTATAATGAGACGAACGAGTATTAACGTTGTCATTATCCTTAAAATTATTTTTATTAAACTTAGGAAGATCTTAACGTATATACTTACGATTCAATAGAGAATTATCCTACCTTTAATTTTCTATAATACTATTAAGATATAGAGAGTAAGTAATTGGTATAGTATTGAAGCAATTAATAGAATAAGTAGTTATAGTACCGAATTTATTTATTATATTAATAAAATTAAGTATATTACGAAATAATACATTGTTAGAACGAACGATAGGAAAAGGAATAATATTAAGTATAATATTAGTATAGTGTATACGTATAGTAAATGTTAATAAAATAATGTAGCGGATATAAAGTTGTTAGAATTCGATAAGTTTTCGGCGTATATCCGATAATTCTACTTTTAATTACTCTACTACTTTTCCTTAGTAGAGGTTAGAATTTTTTTAAAAAACTCTTATATTTTTCGAGGGCGGTAGCGACGATATTAGGATTAGTATTTAGGTTATTTATTCTAACGGTAATCGGGACTTCCTTAATAATTTCTATTTTATAAACGATTTCAATTTTATATATAGGAAACTTATTTATAATAAATTTGGCTAGGGCTATTTAAATATAATATAGGTAGTTTAAGTAATTTAGTAAATTACTCATTTATTCGGGTAAATTAGTATTATAATTAAGGTATTAGATAGCTAATAAAGTAGCTTTTAATAGGATTTTATTAATAAAGGCGGGGTTATTATTATTACGTTTTTTTAGAACGCTATCAAGAGCGCTTTTGATATTATATACTAATTTACTTTATAAAAAGTTATATATATTTATAAATTCCTTCCTATAATTATTGGTATTTATTTTGTATATTTTAATAACTTTCTTAATATTTATACGTAAGTAATAATTAATTTCAATATTTAAACCCTAACAATTTTGATTGAATATACTAATTACGTTTTCGAAGGATAGGTAGGATTTACTTTTACTATTAGCTTTATTATAAATATTAATATTATTACGCGATTAAATAATATATAATATAATTTTACGCGCTTTTTTAAGTGTTATTTTAGCGTTAGATTTATTAGAAAGGATAGTCGGAATAATTATTATAGGAATTGGGCGTAGGATAGCGATAGCGTTATTAATTAAGAAATTTAATTCGCGTTATTCTTAAATTTCTAAAAGATTATAACCGTTAAAAGTAATAAAGCGGCTTATAAGGTTAATAGGTTTTAAAATAATATTACTAAAATAAATGTAATATTAAATTATATATAAAATATAGTGGATTTCCTCTATTTAATTATAATAAAAGGTAAAATTACTATGAACGATAGGAACGGTTAGAATAAACTCGAAAGTTTTTTCCGAGTACGAAAACTATATACGAATATTAGAATAGCCGAATAGGGTAGTAATTGAGTTTTACTAATTATTAAATTTATTATTAGGAATAAAGTCTTTGAAGATTAGTATTAATAATATAATTAATATAAAATGATATAAATTACCATTTAAGGCTTGTAAAATTGTTTGGTCGAGGTTAATCTGAACGTTGGTGTAATCGACTGTATATTATAAAATATAAAAAGGTAATTAATTATTATAAAGGGTATATAATAGTGGCCGTTATTAGCCTTTTTATTATTAATAATTAAAATACTATTTAATACGTAAGATTTAGTATTAGGGTAACGGTTAAATAAATTATAGGGGCCGGTAAAGTTACGTAAATCGGTAAAATGGTTAATAATATATTGAAGGCGAATATATTAAAAGAAATTGTATAAATATTCGATACTTATATTAATAATACGATAAGTAATAGAATTGAGGATTATAATATATAAATTATTAGTACTAAAATTAATAAATTTATAAGTATAATTAACTATAATATAGCGATTAGAGTACTTTATTATAAATATTAGCGCCGGGAAACGTTAGTTTAATTCTAAAATAAACGGAGTTAGTAAGCGATTTTGCGATAAGGTACGAAGGTTATTATTAGGGTCGCTATTATTATTAATTTAATTATTGAGACCGTTTATAGGCTCGTTGTTAAGAGGTGTTAAAGGTATTTTAATATCCTCTATATTAATAAGTAATATAA